CAGAATGCCTTCCAACATAGCTATACCAGTGTACTTTTCTGCCAGCACCAGCCAGTATCCATGTACTCATCTTTGCCAGTCTCATAGTTATACAATGATATCTTATTTTTGTTTTCTTTTTTTTTTTTTAATTTCTTTTCTTTTTAATTTTTTTTTTTCTTTATGGATCTTTAGAGAGAGGGGAAGGGAGAGGGAGAGAGAGATAGAAACATTGATGTGAAAGAACATCAATTGGCCACCTCCAGCATGCCCCCTGACTGGGGATTTGGCCCACAACCTGGGCATGTGCCCTGACCAGGATCGAACTGGCAACCTCTTGGTTCATGGGTTGATGCTCAACCACTGAGCCACACTGGCCGGGCTTATTTTTGTTTTCAATTGCATTTTTCTGATTATAATATATCTGAGCATCTTGTGATGCTGGTTAGCCTTTGGGGTTTCCTCTTTGTAAATCCTGTTCATAGGCTTTGTCCATTTTCACTGGGATTTCTGTCTTTTTCTTTCTTATTTACAGGAGTTCCTGTGTACTTCCCTATTGGTTTTAGACCATTGCAAAACATCTTCTCCTAATCTGTCAACTGTCTGTCAACTTTGTCCATGGTTAACAGGAAATCATACTACAGAAATTCTTAATTTTTATGTAATCAAATGTATCAGAATTTTGCCTATGGCTTGGGACTTTGATATTAAAAAAAAAAAAAAAAAAACAATCCTTCCCACTCTTGAGTGACAAAATAGTCTCCTACATTTTGTTCTACTATTGTAATCGCTTTACTTTTGACATTTAGTCTTTAATCCACTTCCAAATGGCTTCACCTCTGTATTTTGTTTTAGGTTGCAGTCCAGTTTTGTTTTTCAACATACAGTGATCACTTTCTACTGGATAATCCATGTTTTCCTCATTAATCTGGATGCCATCTGTATCTCATACTAAATACCCATAGACAAGTCTCTCTCTTTTTGTTTCAGTAGTTCATTTGGCTGTTCTTTTGTCAAACACTATTTTTATTGCTATTGCTTTGAACTATGTCTCTATATCTGGAAATGCTAATTCCACATCTTGATGATTCCTTTGAAAATTTAGCTTAGATGTCCATGGGTTTTATTCTTATATATTTTATAATAGGTTGATTAAGTTCCTCAGAAAATTTATTTGTAATTTGTACTAGGATTGCATTGAATATGTAAATTAACTAAAGGAGACTATATATTGAGTTCTTTATATACTAAGATCTTTCACCCAAGGATATGGAATGTATTTCCATTTTAATTAAATCTTTAACTGAAGATTAAAGATATTATGTCCTTGAGTAGACTTTTAAATTTTTCTCCAAAGACTGTTCTATACTTACACTAATTTATATAATAAACAACCCAAAATATGGGTACTTTTATTATCATCATTTTTCAGATGAGGAAACTGAACCCAGAGAGATCATAACTAGCCCAAGAACACATAGTAACAACACAAATAACAGAACCTGGATTCAAATAGTTTAGAGTCCAGACCCTTTTTTTTTTAGACTCTTAACCATTGTACTGCCTTTCTTTCTACAGGCAGTTACTTTATATAGGTTAGTTGCTACTGTGAATAGTATCTTTTTATTGTTTATTTATTATCTGGTATATTATTTTTATTATATTTTCTAATTGGTTGTTGCAGATGTAAAGAACTTGGTTGATTTTTGTAAGTTGATATCTGTATCTAGTGAAGTTGCTGAATTCTCTTATTAGTTCTACTATCTGCTATATTGTTTCTGTTTCTTTTCTATACATCAACTATAAATAATAAAAATTTTGCCTTTTCCTTTGCAATTTATAAACCTCTATTTTTTTTTTTCTTCTCTTATAGCATTGGCCAAGACTTCCAGTATAATACCAGACACTATGTAGTAGTGATCATGGGTCAAATAATGCCTCTTATAGAAAAGTAATGTTATCCCAGAAGTTATTCCTTTTATCTTGGCTACTGTATGTGCAGCTCATCAGAGAACTGTTTCACAAAAGTATAGGTTAGAAACTGTGTCTGGTGGTCAATAATACATTCTGAGCAAAGGCCTCTGCTTATTTATGGTACAAAAATTACCTTTTCATAGAAGATGGCCTTCCAAGGGAGAACTGGCTCACTTGTGATAAATTTTACTTCCTTCTGACTTTAAGTACATTTAATTCCATCCTAAGCCCTATGGCAACAACACAGCTCTGCACCTGCCACTTGCTTCACACAATCTGCTAAATGTAATTGTCTCTGACAATCCATTGGTCTCTATCCCCATAGGGGAATTCACAGACAGGAGCACAGGAAGGAGCCTTAGTGATCAACTATTGCTCTCATTTACACACATCTAAAAGTCCCTAAGGTGGGTACCTCATTATCTTCAAGCAAATGATCTGTCTAGGGGGGCTGATGCCAACAACGGAGAGAGCTTGAATCAGACCAGGGGCTAACATAGCTTTCTCCTAATTGGCTTCATCACCCCATCTTCAGTAGAGGTTGGCTCAGCCAAGTTTTCATGGTAGCACCTCAGGGCTTACAGTGATCTCATCTATCCTGACATCAGTGGAGACCCAGAGGAGAGAAAGAGGAAACACTCACTCTTCTCTCCTGTATTCCAAAAGGCTTATTCCTATCCAAGATCAGTGAATTGGCACAAAGGTGGACACTGGCAGCTCCATAGAGAAGTCCTGGGCCCTTGGTGCAGGATGACCCTTCAGAAGCTTTGAGTGGGTGACAAAACACACCCCTCCATTTCATAGACACCCAGGGTGACTAATGCTTGTGGTAGAAATGATTGAACTGAAAAGTCCCACAGGAACCTCAAACCCAGCATATCCAAAATGGGACTTCTCACTGTCTCCTCCAAACTATCTCCCCTTTTACAGTAACCCCGGTGCAGGAACTGGAACAACCTCCATTAAACTATTCTCAGTGTCTGTCTGGCCCTTTCACCTGAGGAGTTACCAACTCTTGGCCCCTCCCGGTCCTGAGAATCCCTCCTGTCCACCTTTTGTTCTCCGTTTTGAATGGGGCCTCGGCCACACCCTCCCAACTGCTCCCTTTGCTCTACTCCTGATCCCTGAGATCCATCCTCCATACTACTGCTGAAGAAATCTTCGCATCATGCAAATCAAACCATATCTCCTGCCTGCAACTCTGAAAGGCTTCCCACCACCGTTAGCAGAATGTACACTCCTTAGCATGGCATCTACTACCCTCATGGCACAGCCCCCTCAGCCTGTCCAGTCTCACACCCTGACAGCAGAACCCCTAGATAGCTACTTCCCTCTACCCTCCCCGATTGTGCTTTTGACCCCTGTTCCCCCTACCTAGAACCTGCATCCCATCCCACTGGGAGCCGTCTAATGCCTATTCATCCCTCAACACTCAGGCCAGGGGCCCCTGCTCCTAGAAGCCTGTGCTGCTGCTTCACCCCATTACATCGGCTGAGGTGCCCTCTCTCTGGGCTTTTCCTCCCAGGACCCTATACATTCATCCCATTAAGTTGTCACGATTCTCTCCTGGACTTTATAACAAGCTGGATTCTTGAAGACAGTCGTTATTACACAGTCTGGTTTCATCTCTCTTCATATTTAAGACAGTACCCATGGGCAAAACACACTGAAACAGATTTGGTATGGGAGTGCTCCAAAGGGAGCTGTTCACTGCTGGGTGTCCTGTGCCTGACACAGCGTCAGCTTGGCACATCGTAGACCAACTGAATGGATGGTTGGATGGTTGGATGGATGGATGGATGGATGGATGGATGGATGGATGGATGGATGGATGGATGGGGGTGGATGGATGGATGGACGGACGAACTAACGAACGAATAAATAAACTGCTCACCTCTATCCATAACTAGGCGGGTGGTCACTATTCTAATATACCAGAAGGAAAGTGGGTGGCACTACTCAGCGGTCCGTCAGGAGAGGCCCCTACGGCGATGAGGTGAGCGCTGGGTACTGGGAGTTAGGAGCAGGGGACCTCGGAGGGTTGGAGGCCTGGGATGGAGGGGGCTGCAGAGGGTCGGGGTGCCCGAGGGCCCTATTTGGCGATTCTGCGCGAATTTCGCTTTCGCTTTGGGCCAGGCCGGAGGCGGCGGCGGGGCCGTCCCGAGCGACTGCGGCAGGCACCGGGGGAGTTAATCCGAAAGCGCCGCAAGCCCCGCGGACCCGACTCCACGTGTCACCGAGAAACTGATGTCGAGAGAGACAGAGAGAAAGAAAGCAAGAGGCCAGAGTCCGGGGAAAGTCCTGCCGCGCCTCCGGGCAATTATAAAAATGTGACCCCCGGGTCGTCTTCCCAACCACCTCACCTGCGGCGTCCAGCGGTCCGCATCCCCGTCCGCCTCCAGCCGCTGCCCCGGGACGGCGCCCCGCCCGCTCAGCATGCTCCCGCAGCGCAGTGAGTAGCCGGCCTCCCGGGCTCGGGGGCCAGGCGGCAGCCCGCCAGAGGAGGCAGAAGCCTGGCACAGCTAACGCGGAGGCTGAAAACAATCAGCGGCTCCAGCAGAGGAGAAAGGGAGGGGGCCGGGAGACTTAATTGCTCGCCTTCCCTATGCTAAAAAGGACACTGTTTCTTTTGATCTAGAAACAGCCCCTTGAGCTAAGTATCATTATTCAACCCACTTCGCAAGTGAGAAACTGAGGCAGCAGGGGGTGGTTTCTTGCCCAGGGTTCCTCAGCTACAGCTCTAAGAGGGCAGATCCCAGCCGACTGTAAAATGAGGCTGCGTCACCCCACTCTTTCCAAAGCACGGTGAGTCTGGGCCAGTCACTTCCCGCCTGGCCTCAGTTTCCCACTGGTGAAATGGAGAGTTTTTCTGACTGAGCTTGGAGTCCAACACCCTTGTCTGAGCTCATTAGGGGTTCCTTGCAGAGAGTTGGTTTCAGACCCTAGAATAGAGTACTGCCTGCCGAGGACTTGATTAATCTCTCAGGGCTTGGAGGACGATTCAAGGGTGGAGGGGGTTGGCGCCCAGAAGAGGTAGGTGGGTGAAGATGACCAGAATAGGTGGGAGGCAGAGGCAGGCGGATCAGGCAGACCACCTCAGCGAGCCTCTCCGTTGTCTTCCAGTCCTCCTCCTCGTGGTCACTCTGGTCCTCCACCACCTCAGCGTGGCCAGGAACCTCCCCACAGCCACAGCAGGCCCAGAAACGTTGGGGTGCCTCAGCCACTCCCAGAACCTGCTGAGGGCCACCAGCGACATGCTTCAGACGGTGAGCGTTTCCATGTCCTCGTTCACACTCCGCAGCCTCTCTAGGGAAAGGGCTTCTCCCAACCCCGGTCACCTGCGGGGAAATTGTGGAAGTTTATCAGGAGCTGTCAAGAGAGGAAGAGGGTACTTTACAAATGGCCCAACTATTAGCTAAAGAGTCTCAATGAAATTGTGTCTCCAGAGAAAGCAAGAGTGGTAATAAATTATAATGGCATTCCTTTGGGCTGTGTCTACACAGAGGAAAGTGGATATTTACAGTGTTCCCTGTAGCCTGCCAACAGAGATGGAATTAATCGTGTCAGGCCCACACTGTTTCTCTGACACACTTATCAATCCAGGAAACCGTTAGGAGGTGCAGCCTCTGTGCTCGGGGGGCCACGAAGATGAATTAGTCTTGCCCCTCGTGCTGCTCACCAGCTTCCAGTCTGGTGACTCGGTTCGTTGTCAGAGCAACGCAATTCCGAGAGCCTGCGGCAGTGCACGTCCAGCCTTCATTTTTAGGGAGAGAATTCTCTAATTTTATTTACAACCTCATTCGTTTGTTAGGTTTCATATTTTAATGCAAAAAATGTTATTGTTTTTCCTTTTAAAAGTGGTTCAGTAGCTATTGCTTTTCTGCAACAGCCAAAGACTGATGTCTGCAAAGATGTCCTTTTGCCTTCCTGCTCTCTAGTAAATCTTGCTGGAATATTTTTAGCTTGTTGTTTTATAGGATCTTAAAATAAACTCAGTGCCACAAGGCCTTCTGAAAGAACTCTTTTTTCCCTTATCTTTCGTAATGTACTGCCAATTGCTCCTTACAGTCCAATCAATCTTAATTAAAAAGGCGGCTCAGCAAAGGAAAACGGCAGAGATAAGTGCTTTGATTCCTGAAGAAAGGTTCACTATGGATAAAATGCGGGAGCTTCGATTCAAATAGATGCTTTATATGAAAAATCTGACTCTTCTCCCAGATGTAGCACTAAAGGTCAAGGGATTGCAGAAATCAATTTGATGATTTTTATATCAAATAAATACATGTTTTCCTGGGTCAGATTTGCCAAAACAAATAGCTAGCCACTGCAGAAAACTGATGCCAGTGGGTGTCATTCACAGGCCGTAACCAGCACACAGATTTGGAGAGCTCGGCCTGTGTCTTTTACATTTTACTTTGATTTTTTAGTTTGGTGCCATTGAAAAACTGGGCCTTTCATAAAATACAAATTTTCAACTTCTCTTGAAAAAGATCTGAAGAACTGCAACAGTGGGCCCACCTTTCCAAACCTAACTTTTTACAACCTGCCCCGTCTAGTGGCTGCCGGGGTCGGCTTGAGCACCCCCAGGAACAGTGTAAACGTTTTTGGGTTTGTTTTTTTTCATGGCTGCTGTAACAAATTACCACAGGCTTAGTGATTTTAAACAACGCAAACTTATTATCTTAAGCTCTGGAGATCAGAATTCCAAAATGGGCTCAAATCAAGGTGTCCGCAGAGCTGTATCCCTTTCTGGAGACTAGGGGAGATTGTTTTCTTGCCTTTCCCATTTCTAGAGGCTGCCCACATCCCTTGGTATGTGGCCCCCTTCCACCTTCAAAGCTAGCAATGGCCAAATGAGTCTTTCTCGTGCTGTATCACTCTGACCTTGACTCGTCTGCCTCCCTCTTCCACGTATAAGGACCCAGTGGTTGCATTGCAACCCCACCCCCAGATAAACCAAGATAACCTCTCTATTTTAAGGCCAGCTGATTAGCAACCTTAATTTCATCTGCAACCTTAATTCCCCTTTGCCAGGTAATGTAACATATTCTCAGGTTCCAGGGATTGGGAGGTGGGTATATTTGGTGGTGCATGTCGGGGGCATTATTCTGCCTAGCACAGATGGGGATTGTATTACCTATTCCCAAACAGGTTCTCCACCCTCAAACCTTGCTTCATGGCTCATGCAGTTCCCCCTGCTGGCCAACATTCTAATCCTCCCACCGCAGATGTTCCATCCCTGTGAAGCCTTTGCACCCCCCCTCCCCCCGCTGACAAGTCTCCTAGTCATGGGGGCACTTACCTGTCCCCTTGGATGAACTTGGAATCCTGTGGGACAGAACATGACCCTCCTCTTTGCCATGTTCCTTAGTACTTAGCCCAGTGCCTGCACACACCAGGCTTATTGAGTAAAAATTATCTCGATCTTCAATCAAAAAGTAATCAACTTCTTAAGATAAACTTCATTATGATATTCAACAGTGCTTTCCAAGGTGCTTATAAGATGACAACTGCGGATGTGTGTGTACCACAAATTAAATCTCAACTTGTCTTTAGGGTTGCATGTTTGTTATATCCATCAAGTTGTGACCTTAACAGTCCCCCTTTAGAAATTATAATTGAAAAAGTTATTCATAAAACACAGGTGCTTTGGCAGAAGGAAAAGCGTTTCCACCAGGAGCAAGTGTCTCAGCGTGGCGTAGGGTCTGATTAGCACAGCCTGTTGAAATGATTTATAGTGTTTACGCAATGGGAAAACATGTCATCCAGGGAAACGCGTCCTAAAAGCAAGGTTTGGACAAAAAGGAGAGAGAGCAAGTGTCAGTGACCTATTTCCTTTTGTCTTCTGAAGACCCTGAATTTCGTACAGGTCAGAGGAACAGAGGTCAAGGGCAGCCGGAGCTGGTTTTGAGGACAGCCGGGGATGGGAGCCAGGCACTTTATTCATATGATCAACTGGGTTTCTCCTTATGATTTTCACAGGCCAGACAGACTCTTGAATTTTACTCCTGCACTTCTGAAGAGGTCGACCATGAAGATATCACAAAAGATAAAACCAGCACGGTCGAGGCCTGCTTACCACTGGAATTAGCCACGGTATGGACGATATTCCTCCCAAAGCACATCATACAGTTAAAAGCTGGTATCAAACTTCACCTTCTTACAAAAACAGGCCTGTTTCTGGTCTCTACCATCATGAAACTTTAACAGGTCCCACTTCAAAGCTGGAGTTTTTATAAAAATTAGAAACATAGATACAGTTTTCCACAATGTGAATATACTTAACACTGTTAAACTCTGCTCTTAAAAATAGTTAAGATGGTAGGTTTTGTCATTATTTTTAAACCACAATAAAAAATGTTTGAGAAGAAAAGTCAGAAAATTTTATATTAAGAATTAATATCTTTGACATGCGATTTTTTTTTCTCTCTCTAGAATAAGAGTTGCCTGGTTTCCAGAGAGATCCCATTCATAACTGTAAGTCATAAAATTAAAGGTTTTGGCCCATTGAATTTGTGCAATGAATTTGTATCATTGATGTCTGACTGTTTTTTCTTCTAGAATGGGAGTTGCCTGGCTTCCAGAAACACCTCTTTCATGACGGTAAGAGACAAAACTCTTTTGGGGGGCGGGGAAGAAAACGTTTCCAGCCCATCTCAATGGTTTCTTCCTCATTTTGTCATATCGCCCAGACCCTGTGCCTCAGTAGTATCTATGAGGACTTGAAGATGTACCAGGTGGAGTTCAAGGCCATAAATGCGAACCTTGTGATGGATCCTAAGAGGCAGATCATTCTGGATCAAAACATGCTGGCAGCTATTGATAACCTGATGCAGGTGAGGCCATTCTATCAGTGAGGGCACCTTCTTCATGCCAGACAGCCTGCCAGGCTCCCTGAGGAAGAGGTGTACACAGTCAGCCCTTCCTGGATTGGGAGGGGCCTGAAATCCCCCTTCTAAAGCCCCTGCAGAGCGATAGCCTTGAGGGTGTCCTCCAGAGAAAGAGCTAGCACGAGCGGGGTCACGTGTAGAAAAGCAGCCCCCCCATTTGTTGACCAAGGCTCTCTGCAAATGTTTACATACATTTCTGTGTCCCCAAAGCAACCATATGGGGTCTGTACAAAGGAGAAAACCAAAGCGTACAGAGTTAGCCACTTGTCTGAGGTCACACAGCCTGCAAGTGGCAGAGCCAGGAATTAAGCCCCCACCAAAGGGGCTCCCCTACACTTCTTGCTCACTTCTGAAGGCTCAGGTGTGCATGGGAAGGCCAGCATGCACACCTGCAAATACCACTGGAGAAAACAAGCAGGGCTGGTGCCTGGGTGTGACCCCCTCTGAACCAAAATGTGAACAAAATAAAAGAATGACCTGTCGCCTGGGGGCCTCCAGTGTTCCTCATAGACAGGAACTCGCTTTGTAATTTCTAATCATCTTAGCGCATGATACTAACACAGAACAGAAATATTCACGTAAGAAAGAGCAGGGTGAGTGCCTTGGTGACCAGGGCTCAGGATAAAGATGTGGTGTCAGAAATCATTGTCTAAAAAGGAATCTTTCTTTCGCCAGATCACTTGTTTGAAAGGCACTGAACGTCATGCAGTATCAAAGGGGGGGGGGGGGGGGGCAGGATGAGCTAAACCAAAGAACTTCTGTGCATATATGAATAACCATGGACACCGACAATAGTGTGGGGAAGGCAGAAAGGGGGTGGGATTGGGGAGGAGGAGGTCAGTGGGGAAAAAATGGGGGGGGGGCAGCTGTAATACATTCAACAATTAAGATGAGTTAAAAATAATAATAAATGTGTGGGAGAGAAAAAAGAGGTTACCATCTACAGAATTGTAAATCATAATTTCATTTCTAGGACAGAGTCAGGTGATTTGGGCACTGGAATAATTTCTACCAGTAATCAGACAACTATGCCCAAGCCAGTGGCCCCCCTGTGCCCCAGTTCTCTCTACATAAAATGGGAGGACTTCACCCACCCGACCTTTCTTTTAGGCTTTTTGTGAGGAGCAAGTGGAGGTATCGATCGTTGTGCAAATAAGAGATCCTGCTTTGAGTTATCAAATCAATGGGCTAAAACTGGGCGCTCCATTGCCAAGTGTATTTATCTGGCACAAATGCGTTTCTGTAGTAAAGAGGTCTGTTACTGATAGTTTTAATCAGAAGCAATCGATCACCTCTCTATTCTAAAAGGGCTTCGCTTCCGAATGTAACATTTACGAATTAATTAGATATTGCAGCAGATGTCACCTTAACACAATTGTTCCTTTCTAAAATGCGACTTCTCCTGAATGCAAATTCTTCTAAACAGCCTCCAGGGCTCTTCAGAGCCCACCGAGGACACAGGTGCTCGGACGACGAGAATTCTCAGGCTCTGCCAGGCCCTCGCCGGGAGCAGACGGGGCTGGGTCGGGGAGACGCCATGAGGGAGGGGGTCTCAGGCTCTGACACATGTGTCGGCTTCCCCCATTTTTATGGGTGAATGTGTTCATTGTGGAATACCGTTCTGTATGTCATGCTCATTATTTGTCCTCCTAGGGCCTGAATTTCAACAGTGAGACGGTGCCTCAAAGACCCTCCCTTGAAGAACTGGATTTTTATAAGACAAAAGTCAAGCTCTGCATTCTTCTTCACGCATTCAGAATTCGTGTGGTGACTATCAACAGGATGATGAGCTATCTAACTGCTTCCTAAGAAGCTGAGGTGTCGCCCTGGCTGGTTTGGCCCACAGACCAGAGAGTCTCGGGTTCAATTCCGGTCAAGGGCATGTACCTCGGTTGCGGTTGGGTCCCCAGCCCTGGTCAGGGTCCTGTGGGAGACAACCAGTCGATGTGTCTCTCTCGTGTCAGTGTTTCTCTCTCTCTCTACCTCCCTCCCTTCACTCTATCTGAAGATAAATGGAAAAATATCCTCAGGTGAGAATTAAGAAAAAAAAAAAGCTGAGGTGTCTCCCAACCTCAACATCATTTTTATAAAAATTGAACCAAAGAAAATTTTTTCTAGGCTGTGCGGGATGTGGTGGCTTGACCTGGTCCTCCGGAAGCTAGTAATTTTCATGTTTACATTAGTCACCACCCGAAGTTGAACGAAGTTGAACGTGTAACTGCTATATTTAAATGATTCCTTTCATCATGTATATTCCACATTACTATGGATAAATTATTTTAAAGTTTTCATGAGCAAATTGCTAAGGAGGGAAATTTTCTTCACTGGATGTGCGTTTTTGGGGTTTTTTTTTTTTTTTTTGAAGAGCAAGAATTTATAAGCTATTTCTATATCAAAGTGTTCGTCGAAACACTCAAGTATAATTTATTTTAAAATATTTATTTATATAATTTTGTGTTCATGAAGGCATGTGAACTAATATTTATTTGTTATATTTATTTAAATATTTATTTGCAAATGAATGAGAAATGCCTTATGTTATTCTAAAAAATAAAAGGATTGGATTAAAGTGATGCTCGTATTTCTCTGATGTGATTGGAATACTTTAAGTGTTAGAATACACACTGTGGGGAAACTGAAAACGCTGATGAATTTGAACAAAATTACCTCGGAAAGATTGCTGCATATTCTTACTCGCTTCCTAATCACTCTAATCTCACACTAAGGGGAGCCTCATAAGGCGAGATACACTTCAATGCTGAGGTCCTCGAGTGAGTTACTTTATTTTTGTTCAACATCTGAATTTAAAATACATGAAAATGTTTTTCCCTGTTAGCCACAGCCCTGTAACATACTGTTATTAGACAAATACATAATAATGTCCTCCAACTGGAAAAAACATTGTTAAGAGGACTTCTAGTTAAATTATTCTAATTTTCATGACCCTTTGGGCCCTCAGGGAGATGTTTCTAAATTACAATGAGAAAAGTTCTCCATTTGCTTTAAATTATATAGAACTTCTGCCTGAACCACATGGATAATTGCCTTGCTTTGGCTTAAGAGATGTGCTCTTAATGACCCAAATATTACATTCCATCTTTTTAATTCTCTAAACCATGTGCATTTCACCTGACAGAATAACACATAATTTTGGTACTCTGATGATCATCTTCCTCCTTAATATGAAAAGCCCCCAGGAAACAAACTATTTAGGGTGACCCCCCCTTTCCTCATGTGACTCCTCCCCATCAGATCCCAATTCCTGTCCCTGTGACCCGTAAGGGGAATGTTTGGCCACCCCAGGCCCTCATCAGTGTGGTACACTGACTCGTTTTTCAGATGCTCACCCGACTAGATAGAAATCACTATAAGCTAGACCCCACCACCATCTCCTTTTCTTCCAGGTTCCTCCATAAACTTGAAGGACCCACAAGGGAGTCACAGGCAGGAGTTTCAGCAGCTTTGACTGTGGGAAGAAGAGCTTGATGGGGCTAGGACTGCAGAGGGGCCGCCACTCCCACAGGAAATGGTGACTTGTCTCGTCTGTGCCCAGCACCAGGAGAGGCCAGCAGATCGTCCATCCCGCGAGCTGGTATACACAGGAACACAAGGGTTACTTTGGTCTCTAAACATTACCATGACATCTGCTTTCAAAGCAGGACTGGCCAAGAAACATCTTCACAACTAATTCCATCCTTGATTTTATCTGTATGTGTTTTTTATTGCTTTTTAGAGAGGTGGGGAGGGATAGAAACATTGATGAGAGATACATCAATCAGCTGCCTCCTGCACACCCCCTACTGGGGATCGAACCCACAACCTGAGCATGTGCCCTGACCAGGAATCAAACCGGGACCTCTGAGTCCATGGGATGATGCTCAATCCACTGAGCCACAGAGGCTGGGCTCCATCCTTTATCATGTGGTCAGTTTTCCACTTTCTTCTCTACGCCTGGGCCCACAATTGCTGTTCTATAACCACAATGTTTAAAATTCTCCATTTCCAATTCTAAGAACTGAAGATACTACTAGAACCTGCCTCCGAGATCAGTGCGAGGGCCAGCGGAACGGCTGGCGCCCAGCACTGGCACTGGCCTGGCACAGAACTGTAAGCGGTGTTTGAAAATGACTACTAGTCTTCGGGCTTGGTGACTGGGCCATACTGGTTAAAGCCTCTTTGCTACTATAACCTGCGAAATTCAAAGAGCTGTAGCCCGCCTTCCCAGGGCCACCATGAGGCTTAAATGACACAGCACAAGGCTGGCACCAGTGCCCCCACCGACGGCTTCAACGGCAGGTTGTCTGCTTGGAGACCTGAGTGACGGGGCCGCCCCTCCACGGCCCTCGGCGTGTCGTGGGCGCTGACAGGAGGCGGGTGCTGCAAGACACCAGGGCGAAAAGGCTTGCTTCCCAGCACACGGGGTGGGGAGCCAGGTAACTCAGTAAGGCCGAGGCCCCCTGAAAATATTCCCCACTCCTAGCCTATGAGAATTTCATTTGATTACCACATTATTTTTAAAATATAAACAGAGATGATGTTTCTCACACACGAGAATGACTTCATCAGGAAATTATCGTGAAAAGCAGCTGACAGCCCTGGCCAGTTTGGCTCAGCGGTTAGAGCATCGGCCTGCGGTCCGGAGAGACCCGGGTTCGGTTCCCGCTAAGGGCGCGTACTTCGGTTGCAGTTTGTCCCCGGCCCTGGTCGGTCGTGCGGGTAGCAGCCACTCGATGTGTCCCTTCACATCGATGTTTCTCTCTCTCTCTCCCTCCCACTCTATCTGTACAAAAAATGGAAAAATATCCTCGGGTGAGGATAAAAAAAAAAAAAAAGCAGCTGACAGCTGCCCCACTGAGGGCTGAGCATTGGGGAACAGGGACGGTTCTGGGGGGTGATCTGGTCAGACACCAAAGGTGGGTATTGGACAACTTAAGAGAAGCAGAAAGGCCTCGGACACCCGACAGAGGAAAGAAAACAAGGGACCAGAAGGGAAGGAAAGCGGCTTGGTCTTGGCCGGCACTGCCAGCCAGCTGATGCCCTTGCCTGAGGAGTAAATCTGTGGTTGCAGACAGATACTCTTGGTTTCTCAGTGTAAGGCACAGAGCATTACAATGCTACAACGGACTGAGTGTTTCAGTCCTCCTAAAATTCATAGGATGAAACCCTGATCCCCCATGTGATGGTGTTTGGAGATGGGGACGTTAGGTTAGTTAACTCATAAACATGAAGCCATTGTGTGGGGTCACCGCCCTTACCAGGAGATACCCAGAGGTCTGCCCCCACCCACTGCCGCGTGAGGACACAGTGACAAAGTGGCCGTCTGCAAACCAGGAGGGTTCCAGCCTGTGCATACAACCACTTACCCTCCTGTCTCTCCTCCCGAGGTCCCAGGAGTCCCAGGACACTGTCATCACAAACACACAAACGTCACCAAATGTTTTGTGTGTTTCCTCTTCCCCCCACTACACTGCGAGAGCCTCACATTTAGGAAATGTTGTTACCCATGGACTTGTGTTCTCGGGCCCTGGCTCTCAAAAACGGTCGAGAAAGGCAAGTCTTCATGGGTTCCCATGTGTTCTTTATTTCTTTTCTAATCCAGAAATAAAGTCTTTACACATCAAATTATTCCCAATTTCAAAAACGTTAAAATGCACATTTGCTTGGTTCAAAACAATTATACACACTTAAACTGGAGAAGGGATCAAAACTTCGTAAGCCTATTGGCTTCAGCAATTTACACGCGTACTGTTTGGGATTCGGTGGCCCTGCCCCTTCAGGAACGACGCTGGGTACCACCCTGGTGAACTGGGAAGTGACGCCTTCACGGCGCAGGTGCCTGAGATGAGGGCTGCTAACAGGCACCTCACCAGCTGGTTCCCGTCCTGCTGGACAGGAGCGGGCGGGGGTCCCGCAGGGCTCCTCGGTAACCCCTCAGGAGTCCCCAGGCACCCCCCAGGGCAGCACCACTTTGGAACGCGTGGCCAACACAGGCTCCAGGTAGGATTTCCTTCCACAAAGGCTTCTACAGCTAAGGAAAAGTTCAGCACTCACTGACCTCGTCCAAGCTCCTCCCTGCAGCTAGGTTTTTTATAAGGAACAAAACCATCTTTTAGATTTCCCAACTTGCTTGACAATAAATCACTGCTGGGAGGCAGAGAGCGTACCCCTTTCTACAAACGAGACTCAGGCCAGAGGCCACAGCGAGCAGCAAGGACGGGCTTGCTTCCACAGGAGGACGGCTCTGCCTCCGGGCTGCCCACCGGAGGACACCGCAGGGACAGGCTGGTCTCAGTCAGGGGGGCCTCAGGGAGAAGCAGGAAGAACTGCAGCTCTAGCTCAGAATTCAACCCCGGGGTCTCTATTTCAGTAACGGCAGCTAACAGGGCCACCGTCAGAAATGCTCCAACTCGGTGGGAACAGACGCAACCCCAGCAGTGACTCCCAGGTCCCGGGCTGGTGCTGCTTCACCCAAGGTCTCCAGCAACTGCGGAAACCACCACCTGCTGAGAACACATTTAAACACAGGCGACTACAGTGGCTGCTTCAGTAAACAGTGAAAATGTGCTTCCGTGACAGTGCAGGGGAGGAAACTTCTGCCCTAGAGCAACACAGGGAAGTAACAACATGCATTCCAAACGTGCAGAGAACGCCCACTAGATAGCCACACAGGTGAGAGACTAATATGAACCCACCTGGTATAAAATAAGAACATACCTTCCCTCGCCAGGGATGGAGAGGAAACTAAAATGTTCCGGCAGCGAGACGCTGCGAACTCGGGGTACACCAGTTCACCTGGGTTTCCACGCACTCAGCCCCAGTCCAGGAACTGGACCACAGGGCACAAAACCAACCAACCTCCAGTTAAGGCCACAGCTAATGAAGACGACGATGCTGTAAGAAACCATTTGTAAGTAAACAAGAACACAAGGAAACCACTTTGCACTGGACAAATGCAGATTTATTTTCCTTCCCTTCATCCACAGTATGTAAAAGGATGAAATTGTTAGGAAATTAGCATATATACAAAGCACCTCTGAAATTATGCTTTTCTTTGAAAAACAACTTATAAAAAATAATAAACATTTAAAAATTCAAGTCCCTTTAGTTTACACCTCTGAATGTTAAAACTCCATGTTTCCTAAAACATAGTACAATTTAAAAAAAAAAAACACAGCTCATTAAAGTGACACTGATTTGAATTCCACAGGATCCCTGACAATTAAAAATGTTATTCCCTATAAAGTTAATTTGTTCTTCACAGGCAAAACAATAAAGTGTGTTTCTCTGATTAATTCATTAGATTTATTTTACTCTCCAGCTAATGTACACAGAAGACTAATGGTAATTTATAGCGTCTTCAAATAAGTTAACAAAACATATCCAAAATGTTAATCACCGCCTGCATGATTTGGGGAGAGTGAAAATATCTATACATACAAAAAACACACAAACATTTCACCAATTATCAAGAGCCAATGTGACCCATTATTCCCTAGGGCACGTCTTCTTCAAGAAGAGATGACAGTTTTCCCTTGGTCCTGCTAAGGCTATTACTGAGAGGACCTCTCCCCACCACCCCACTCCCACCCCACCCCACCCCAAAATAAATGATCCCAGGGTAAAAGTCAAGAAATGTAGTGTTTGGTCCGGTGATTTCAGAAGGTTGATTAAAATTGCAACTCTGCCGATTGATCTGGTTGAATTCGCCCAGTGAAGTGAGGAGATCACGTCTGAGTGTGCTCATCAACCCCCGGATGGGGAGAGGATAATATTCCTTTAGTCTAGTCACTCTAGGACCAGGTAGCATGATAGGGTTAACAGCTTAGCAGACCACTAGCCAGACAGGTTAGTTCTGTGAGATACAAAATGATATCCCACAAAACAGATAGAGTTACCCAGAGGCACGTGTGTCTGTCTGTGTGGAGGCTGAAGGTACCTCTCTTCATGATTTATGTCAATATGATAAAAGCTAAACTAAATTGGTGCAAGTTTAAGTACACCACTATGTGACTGCTAAAAATGTTTCAAACAGTTGGTAAGAATTTCATAGTCCACACTACTTCAAAAAGAAAATTACCACATTCTCACCTGCCTGAGCTGAGTCATTTTAAGCACCCTTTGTAATTATACCTGTTTGGGTGGGGGAACAGGTGGGATGGTGTGAGCAGGAGGTGCCGAAAAAGAAAAAAAAATCTTGATGTTATTTTCTTCCTCAAGTTTTCCAAAATTTTACATTCTCTTTGCCACTGGATAGTGTGAGCTACAGAGTGGCTGGCCGTGGAGAAGGTTTTCCAGAGACTGACATTTGCAGTCTCATGAAGTCTGTACCCAAGGACCAGCTGAAGTGGTGTTTTGCAAATAAAAGTTCCTGAGGCTTCCTTTTTCTGTTCATCTTCCAAATTTCATATTGCCTATAAGAAACCTGACAAAATAGAGAATTAAACAAATTCAGAGACTCATTGTTGGGGGGAAAAAAGGAGCAAGCTTTGAAATAAAATCACTTGGCTATTTAAAAAAGAAACTCCTGGAAAGAAAAAAAAGGGGGGATTTCTGGAAGTTGCCGAGTTTTCCAGAGCTTAAGAGAAGCCACTGCATGATACTAAAACATCCTGATACAAATATAAAATTCAGCAAATTAGCCAGGTATTTTGGCTACAGGAGGACATAAAATATTGATAAACTTGGGGGGGGGGTATTTGTTTTTAACTCACAGAAGATTTTCTTTCCTATTTAATGACAGAATTGAACCAATAAGTTATGATTTCTTTACTGCTAAAAATTGCCACACAGCCCTTTGTATTTCTAATGTACCAGCAAGTCAAGTGTCAGTGAGGTCAGGAGCAGATTTTAAAAACAAACAAACAACCTCGTTATAAAGAGTCTGAGTTCAGTTTTCCGAGCCTCCCTTTGATGGAAGACAGTGACGCTGGTCATCACAGAACAGTGCGGCTACTATTGTCAATAGGCAGAAGCGCCTACATGCAAATAAGCAGATTTCCACATGTAGGCCTCAGTAATGTACATAATTTCAACATGTCCAAGAACAAGAATTAAAAATGTGACACCGAAACCAGCTATTCTATTTGCTTGAGGCTTCTACACCCAAAGTCTACGGGATGGGGGGTTCAGAAACCTTGCCCCCCACCTCTGAAAGCATCCTGAGGGACCATCGAGTGCTTTTATTTTCATATAAACTTTTGGGGCATTTACATGCTTTTATACCCTTTTTGGAATAAAAAGTAAATAGCATTCCAAATAAAAACCTCTCTCTGACTTACTGAGGGTTCTGAAAAGTAACACTGTATGTGTTAACTATGGAACAATATATAACCAAAGTTTTTAATTGGTTTGACCTTGGATATAATGAAATCAAAACCACAAAAAAAGAAGTGCTTAAAAACAAAGGAAGGAACCCTGTGGTTTTTTGGACTGAGATTAGAAACAAAACTCCCTTTAGCCTCTCTGACTCTGCTTTTTCCCTTCCCCTTTGCTGCTTGAGGTTCACTAGTGCCACCCAGTGGACTCCTCCAGCACTGCTTCAGCACAAGGGAAAGCCCAGCCCCAAGGGTCTCAAGTACCAGGACATTCATATTTAAACCTTACTGAGCTTACTACCTGCCTGAAGCTTTACATGCACGATCTTTTTTCGTACTAACAACAGATCGGGACACAGAAGTTTTTGCGTCCATCTGACAGATGAGAACAGAGGCTTAAAGTGAGGTTAAGAATTTGCCTAGTCACAAAGAGCCAGCACTTAAGCTGGAATTTGAACCCTTCCTCTGACTCCATGCACAAATCATCATTCCTTAGATTATGGCAGCCCACAAGCTTCCTGCTACATTTACATAATAATCTGAACCCCCCGTTTATAAATAAACAAGCAATACATTCTACAGTAGACATTTGCTATTCACAAGGGCACAGCTTGATTCCAAGTAAATGACAAGATATTTCCTGCTCACCTTCCAGCACCTCTTGGACTTCCGCTGAGACGTTTTTCAAGCAGTTATATAAATTCCGGACTGTGGCATTACTCTGCTCCTTTTCTTTCCACTTCTGCAGCATTCTAAACTTAGAAATCGTAACATCTTCTTTCTTCTCCCGGATAGCATCAATATCACTAATGTCCAAATCCAGGTTGACAATGGCAATTTTTATCCACTCCTTCCCCAATTTCCCAGCAAGGGTAATCAGCTGGGCATCTGTTAACAGGGTCTCTGCTCCAGCTAAAAGCAGATGAGAAATTCAGTAGTTTCCCTCAACACTTCATTTATAACTACTTACAATGAAAATATTCTCCTTCTATCAAAAAGGACACATTATTTGTAATTGTAACTGCTTTTAAAATATATTTAAGTGCCAAAAGAATCCCTGTTTTTCAAAAAAATCTTAAGAACTAAAGGGAACGCTTTTATGTAACATTAAACTAGGGTATAATGTTCATAATAATTATGAATGCGACTTTTACAAAGCAGCCCAAATCAGGTTGGAATAAAAAGAATTCAGATACCAAAAATAATTATGTGGTTTAAAAAGAAAAATATACAGCTCTGCCCTTGCCTACCTCTGTCTCTATCTAAATGTTAGCAAGAGGTCTGAATTAAGTCTCCACTATGCCATCTTCTGGCTTTAGGGGAAAAGCAAATTCCACAGAAAAGTCACAGGATGGTATCTGTAATTCCTGTTAATCTCCAAGAAACATAATCCTCGAAGGGCATATATCTGCCAATGCAAACCACTGGACCCCTAAAAAACATTAGCCTTATCATCAAACAAGATTTGTGACTATCACTTTGTGCTATTATACAGCTAAGCTCAAGGAGTTTCCGGTAAGGATTAGCAAGACATTACCAATACTGGAGAGGACATTAGAAGTGAGTGAGAGGTAAGAAGAATAAGCTTCTACCCCTCTTCCAGGGCTGCAACACCTCTACTCTAAAGACAACAATTTATTCACGTGTATATAACATTTGTACTTGGACCCTTTCCCACTTCAGTTTCCTCTCCAACTGTAGAGTTAACTGAAGAATGGGTTCTTAAAGATGGCCTGCGCCCTCTAGTGGTTTCCTGACACATGGCCGATTGCTCCCAGCTCTCAAAACCTCTGTCAATGAAAACTACTGCACAGGAAACCTATTTAAAGAGAAGTTCTCAAGACCATCCCCAAAGTCAGTGTATCAGACTCTGAGCCTAAATTTTAACAAGATCTCAAATTAATACTGTTAAGGTTGAGCACTGACCATATTTAAAAAGCAACACAGTGATATACTGAGTCTGAAACTACCAGGCTAGTGACTGGATAGCTCCAAGAATGTTGCGAGAATACCTAAACAAACAAAAAAAAACCTATTAATTTGTTTATTTAGAGCGTACATTGTCAACTCCAAAAAGGGTGGAAATCTTTAATCTTTCTAGGTGTATCTGATCATTTTGATTCTATTTCTAGCTATTTGGTATTAAAGCTAATTTTAAATAGCCAAATAATTGCATGAAACAAGAAAAACTTGTCCTATAAATCAATTTAATACAAAACTGTGTCCCACTCATAAGATGAGTAATTTCTGAGGATCTAATGACATCATGGTTACTATAGTTAATAATACTGTATTATATTGTATACTTAAGATTTGCTAAGATAGTAGATCTTAAGTGTTCTCACCACTAAACTAAAAAGTTACTGTGAGGTGATGGATGTATTAACTAACTTGACTGGTAAATATTTCACAATGTATATGTATACCAAATCATCATATTGTACACTTTAGTATACACAATTTTATCTGTCAACAGAACTGGAAAAAACTCTCTCTCAATATAGTTAGCTTTTAAAAATAATTCCAGAGCCTCACTATTTTGGTGTTGACTTTAATAAAAATAACAAACATTTCTATAGTGATATACAGTAAAAGCACACAAACGTCATCCTCAAAGCCTCCTGCTCTAGAAAGTGTGGAATATCTTACTTCATTTGATAGAGAGCTTGTCTGCTTTTAGAGACTCATACCTTCTTACAATAACAGTAAAAGAAAAGGTATTTTGATGAAAGGGTTAATTTGGAGAGTTACGCGAGGTCACTAAATGCTTGAGACCTCGTCTCATACAAATTTGAGTCTGTATTTTTAATCTTAGATTTGTGAATTCTTGTTGGACTTGCATTTTGAGTGACGAATTCTATCTTCTGGCTCCTTAGAGTATTGTTAAGTGTTTTAAATCTCTATTGTATTTTCTCTATTGAGGCTTGGTCTCCGGCATTTAACTGGAAGAAGTGGAGATCTGCCTTCAATAACTGAGCTGGAGGTGCTCCACCTGCCAGTAGCTCAGAACTGTGGTGCCACTGAATGCACACGTGGATGTTCTCAACCCCACACAGTCCAGCATGCTCACTACGTCTCCATAAGGCTCCAGGCTCAGTGCTACGGGGAATGTCAAGATAGAAGGTATGACCCTACCCTTAAGGATTGCAAGGGACCCCACTCCCCCCGCTGCTCTGCTGAGTGAAGGGGAGGAGTGGGGCATCAAGCTGGGATAACGGGCCAGGGCAGGCCAAGAAGGACCCTTATCCAGGTCCGAGGAGCTGGGACACAGGCACGCACAACCGGACACGGCTCTGGGAAGACTATCCAAGAGCGTGAGTGATGGGTGACCGTCGACCGGGGAGACCAGGGAAAGGATCCACAGCCACTGAGGACATTGTCACAGACCTGAAGTGTCAACCTGCTTCATTCTTTTATCATAGACCTCCTCTTCAGGTAGGGTGATATTCATTTTACGTCGCCTGTTACCTTAAAAAAAAAAGAATAAATTGGCTTTCCATTATGTTTATTACTTTTGACCCACCTTCCATCTGGATTCTTTTTAAAAATCATCCTTCAGGGTAGAAGCTAACTGAAAGTGGATTCTAAGGTTGTTTGGATGATAAGAGAGCTACAGAGCACTGAATGACCCTTACCGCGACCACCTCTGCGCAGCAAAACAAACCCTAGCAAAGGGAGGGACGGAAAAGTGGGCACGACTCGCTTCATGACTGGTTACTGGCACTTACCACCGGTGCTGCTTTTTGAAATGTTCTGACTCTGGTCACGTTGCACCCAGTCACCTGTCAAAGTACAATAAGCATCACTTAGAAATAGGAGCATGAAATGAGAATTAAAGAGATCAGTGTGTGAGCACGTGTGAAGCGCTGGGGTCTTGGCAACCTCTCCGAAGTTCACATCCGAGTCTGGGCTTCACCTGGTGTGTGCACAAATGCACTGGGCTTGAAACGAGACAAATAACTGCTCACCACTGTCACGGTTTCTGCCCCTCCCGAACGCCAGGTGAAGTGGGATTTACTCGTATTTCTTTTTTTTTTTAATCCTCACCCGAGGACATTTTTCCATTTTTTGTACAGATAGATTGGGAGGGAGAGAGAGGAAGAGAGAGAGAGAGAGAGAAACATCGATGTGAAAGGGACACATCGAGTGCCTGCCACCCGACCGACCAACCAGGGCCGGGGACAAACTGCAACCAAGGTACATGCCCTTAGTGGGAACCGAACCCGGGTCTCTCCGGACCGCAGGCTGACGCTCTAACTGCTGAGCCAAACCGGCCAGGGCGATTTACTCGTATTTCTTTACTTAACTACTGTAAGTAGAACACTGGCATCACCTGCCACAAAAACAAACATTTTCTGTTTTAAATGCAGTTCTATGTGCTCCACCAAACACCCTCAGGTATTTTCATTCCACACTCGGGAGAACACCATCCTCGGGGTCCTTTCTGGGCACTTCGTCGCGATTCACACCACCTTCCTCGTGTGGAAGGTGGCCGCTGCTCTACGGGGTGTCCAAGCCTCATGCAGGCTGTCTACAGGTCCCTTTAGTGACGAGGCCTTAACAGTGACAACTAACCTCAACTAACCATTAGCTTCAGCCAGCCCAAAAAAAAAATACCAGAAACATCTTACAATGCAGTAACTATTAAAGAAGTTATTTTTAAAAAATCAGCCCTGGCTGGTTTGGCTCAGCAGTTAAAGCGTCGGCCTGCGGTCCAGAGAGACCCGGGTTCGGTTCCTGCTAAGAGCACATAACTCAGTTGCAGTTTGTTCCCAGTCCCGGTTGGGGTCATGTGGGTGGCAGCCACTCGATGTGTCCCTTTCACGTCGATGTTTCTCTCTCGCGCGCTCTCTCTCTTCCGCTCTTTCCCTCCCACTCTATCTAAAAAAAAAAAAAAAAAAATCAAACATAACAAGGTCTTATGAAGTGGTCTTTGAAACTACCTAGAGATGTCTTCTCAGCCCAGAAGACACCTGTTTTTATGCAGGTGGCTGCAAGTTAAATACCTCTATTCCCGCAGCATTTACGATGATTAAAAGATAGCATCTTTCAGGTTCATTTATTTGAAAAAATTAATGAATACCAAGAAAAACAATACAATCCCCTACACAGATTCCCCACTAGACTCTTTATAGGTAAGTAACTTTAGCTTGGATAAGAGGCTCTGTTGCAAACTGGCTAACTTAAGGGTATAATGTTGAGAATAAGAATCAATCACAATTATAGAAAAGGTTCATGCTTATGCTGGGACTGAGAATTCCAAAATCATTAATCAGGTTTCATTCTAGAGTAAAGACCTGACAGAAAACACAGACTCTACATATAACTCAATGGATACAAAACTAAACAAGCTGGAAAAGGATTCAAATGTTGATCAGATGATAATGAGATTTATAAAACACTTAACAGATCCCTGATGTTACGACTTGTGTGAAGCCAAATAAAAATTCTGAAGGGCAACAGAAATAAGAGTGGGTTACTCCCTGGCTGGTCTGGCTTGGCAGTTAGAGCATGGGCCCCCAGATTAAAGGGTTGCGGGTTCCATTTCCGGTCAAGGACACATACCTGGGTTGCAGGTTCGATCCCTGGCCCTGGTTAAGGTCGTGCGGGAGGCAACCAATCGATGTGTCTCTCTCACATCAGTGTTTCTCTCTCTCTTTCTCCTTCCCTCCCTTCCATTCTATCTAAAAAATCAATGGAAAAATATCCTCAGGTAAGGATTAACAAAAAAAATAAATAAAAATAAGAAAAGAATGGGTTTCAACTCCTTCCATGTCCAGCTGCTGGCACCAACCACTGTGCTGCTTTTGAGAACGATGCTGTAGTCACCACAGGACTGTGTGTGATACTGGGAAAGAATAGGTATCATAATCCAAACTGCAACTGATGCAAAGAACACACGTGGCCCCGCTCAGTGCCCTTTGCACCTAAGAATGCTCCAGCCGCAAGTGGGTCAGAGACGGGCCCACGACCCCGCATGGAGCTGGTCTCCCCTCATCCCCAGCCCACGGCTCCTGCCTCCCTTTTGGCTCCAGAAGGTGATGACTCCTCACATGTCTGTCGTTCTAAAGACTCTCTTCAAGTAGAATCAGAGGTCCAGCTCAGATCTGCCTGAGGAGGAAGCTGGGACAGCTCTCTGGTATCACCTGAAGTTCTTCTCTCCAGAGGGGTTCCCTATGGGTTGCAGCCCTCTCCCACTTCTCCCAGAGCAGGAGAGGATGTTAAAGGGGGGAAAGGGTTGTCAGCGGGCGTCCCAGCACCAAAAAATTTACGCAAGGGGAAGGAGGGGCAATGGGGTCCCACGACAGGGCCGTCATCGCACAGAGTGGGAGCTATCAGTTGAAGACCAAAAAGGGAAGTGTCAGCAAATGAGAAAATCAACCAGCCAAATGCAGATCTACACCCAGATCACAGAGGAGACTGTCACAATACCCCTAATTCACATGAAAACATCTGCGATCCAAACCTCCGAGTGGTAAGAAAAACACCAGCTCTGCTGGCCAACCCCACCCCCACCCCCACCCCCACCGTCTGAAGCCTCCACACACTCGCGGAACCACCCACTGACCTCCAGGGTCTGGACCTGGGTGCCTGAGAGCCAGAGCCCGAACCTCTGTTACAGGGGGGCCGGTCCCCTCACCAGCTTTGTAAGTTTTATGACAACGGGACAGACGATGACTCTGTTTGCTTTCCCACCCCCACCACTCACAAACCAGCTTTCATTTAAGATACAAACACTTACATTCTCTCAGTTTCGCTTTCCATACAATCTCCTCGGAATCCATTTCCACCAGCAGTAATTTAAACTCCACTGGCTGCTCCAAATAAACTTCAATGTAACTTTTCAGTTTTAAAAGTGAACCATCCACAAATTCAATTTCCTTTAAAAAAAAAAAAAAAGTGGTATTGTTAAAATGGAAAAGCTGTGTTCATTAATTGACAGCATAAAATGTCAAATAACAAATGATGACAATTTGATGGATTAACGCTTGCTTGAATGTTCACTGACACCTTGACCTTGGAAACCCCACTCCTGAATCACACTCTGTCTTCTCTTGCTTCTAGCCCTCCCTTACTCCAACCTCCTTTTCTGCTTCATTTTCCTAAACTTAACTTTTCAGCTCTTTCCCGATTTCACGTTTCCTGTTCTCAAACCAGAATGTGTGCTCAGCCATCAGAAGTGCTTTTGACCTTCCTGGCCATCCCATGCTTAGACCTCTCTGTAATCTGGAATAGACTCAACAACGTGTACAGACATGCTGCGTGTTTTATCCACACTCCCTGGTTGAACACCACCTTCCCCACCAAATCCTCTTTTTCCTACATTATAGATCAAGAAGCTCAGAGAAGAAATTAACTTGCCCAAGTCCACATCTAGGAAGTGGTGGGACTAATCTGAACCCTCAGCTTCTGATGCAAAGTGTGAGCTCGTAACTGCTACACAGACTGCCTCCTGCCTTCCACCTCCTCTGCCTAGAGAGCCTGGAGGGAGAAATGCATTGTTTTTAAAAGTACAGGTGTATCCCTCTTCAAACAGGACATACAAGTGACCAAGTAACATATGAAAAAATGCTCAACGTCACTAATCATCAGAGAGATACAAATTAAAACAACTATGAGGTATCACCTCACACCTACCAGAATGGCCGCCATCAACAAATCATCAAACAACAAGTGCTGGCGAGGGTGTGGAGAAAAGGGGACTCTAATACACTGCTGGTGGGAATGCAGACTGGTGCAGCCACTATGGAAAACAATATGGTGTATCCTCCAAAAATTAAAAATTGAACTGCCATTTGATCCAGTGATCCCACTTCTAGGAATATACCCTAAGAAGCCTGAAACACCAATCAGAGAGAACATATGCACCCCTATGTTCATAGCAGCACTATTTACAATAGCTAAGATCTAGAAACAGCCCAAGTGTCCATCAATAGATAAGTGCATAAAAAAGCTGTGGTACATATACACAATGGAGTACTATGCAGCTGTAAGAAAGAAAGATCTCTTATCCTTTGAGATGACATGGAGGGACCTGGAGAGTATTATCCTAAGTGAAACAAGCCAAACAGAGAAAGACAAATATCACATGATCTCACTTTTATGTGGAATATAATGAACAAAACAGGCTCAGGAGCAAAACAGACCCAGAGACATGGAAGTGGGGTGCAGACTGACAAACCTCAGAAGGGGGGGGATAAATCAAAGAAGTTATATGCATGTATGCGTAACCAAGGACATAGACAATAAGGTTGGGGGGTTAAGATTAGGAGGAGGGTGTCGATGGAGGAAAAAAGGAGAAACATCTGTAACAAAAATAAGTAAATAAAAAGTACAGGTGTATCTTGTTTCATTGCACTTCACAGATATGATGCTCTTTACAAGCTGAAGTTGGTGGCAACCCTATCATCACCATTTTTCCAACAGCACTTGCTCACTTCACGTCTCTGTGTCACATTTTGGAAATTCTCAGATTCTTTTATTTCAGATTCTTTCATTATTACATTTGTAATGGTGATGTGCGATCATGGCCTTTCATGTTACTACTGTCATTGTTTTGAGGCATCATGAACTTAATAAATATATGAGTGTGTTCTGACTGCTCCAACGGGCCGTTCCCCTATTTTTCTCCCTCTCCTCAGGCCTCCCTATTCCCTGAAACACACCATATTGAAAATGGGCCAATTAATAACCCAACAATGGATATTTAGTTTTCAAGTGAAAGGAAGAGTCTCATGTCTCACTTTAAATCAAAAGCTCGGCCCTGGCCGGTTTGGCTCAGCGGTTAGAGCGTCGGCCTGCGGTCCTGAGAGACCCGGGTTCGGTTCCCGCTAAGGGCACGTACCTTGGTTGCAGTTTGTCCCCGGCCCTGGTCGGTTGTGTGGGTGGCAACCACTCGATGTGTCCCTTCACATCGATGTTTCTCTCTCTCTGTTCCTCTCTCTCCCTCCCACTCTACCTGAACAAAAAATGGAAAAATGTCCTCGGGTGAGGATAAAAAAAATAAATAAATAAATAAATAAATAAATCAAAAGCTCGACATCACTGAGCCTGGTGAGGAAGGCATGCTGAAAGCTGATACAGGCCTACAACTAGGCCTCTTGAGCCAGTTCGCCAAGTCGTGAGCACAAAGGAAAAGTTCTTGATGGAAATTTAAAGTGCTAATCCAGTGAACACACAAATGGTAAGAAAGTAAAACAACCTTGATGCTAGTAAGAAAGTTTTAGTGGTCTGGACAGAAGATAAAAAGCCAGCCTCATTTCCTTAAGCCAAAGCCTAATCCAGAGCAAGGCCCTAACTCGATTCTGTTCCATGAAGGCTGAGGGAGGTGAGGAAGCTGCAGAAGAGAAGTCTGAAGCCAGCAGAGGTTCACGGAAAGAAGCCATCTCCACACAAATGCAAGGTAAAGCAGGCAAGTGCTGATGTAGAAGCTGCGCAAGTGTATCTGGAAGATCTAGCTAAGATAATTCATGAAAGTAGCTGCATTAAAGAACAGATGTTCAGTGTAGACAAAATAGTCTTCTGTTGGAAGAAGATGCCATGTAGGACTTCCATGGCTAGCGAGAAGTCAATGCCTGGCTTCAAAGCTTCAAAGGACAGGCTGACTCTCTTGTTAGGGGCTAATGCAGCCAGTGACTTATAGTTGAATCCAATGCTCATTTACCATCTGAAAATGCTAGGGCCCTTGAGAATTATACTAAATCTACCCTGCCTGTGCTCTAGAAATGGAACACAGCCTAGATGTCAGAACATATGTTTACAACCTGGCTTACTAAATATTTTAAGTCCACTGTTGAGGCCTACTGCTCAGAAAAAGAAGAGTCCCTTCAAAATATTGTTGCTCACTGACAATTCACCTGGTCACTCAAGAGCTCTGATGGGGATGTGCAATGAGATTAATGTTTTTCCCATGCCTACTAACAAGGAGTAATTTGTACTTTCAAATCTTATTATTTAAGAAATACATTTCCTGCCCTGGCCAGTGATGCTCAGTGGTTAGAGCACTGGCCAGTGCACCAGAGGGTCATGGGTTCGATTCTCAGCCAAAGTCACATACTTGGATTGTGGGTTCAATCCCTGGCCCTGGTGAGGGCACATGTGGGAGACAACCAATCAATGTGTCTCTCACATCGATATTTCTCTTTCTCTCTTTCTCTTTCTCCCTCCCTCACTCCCACTCTCTAAAAAAATCAATGGAAAAAATATCCTTGAGTGAGGGTTATCCAAAAGAAAAGAAAAAGAAATACACTGTTGAAGGCTCTAGCTGCCATAGTTAGTGATTTCTCTGATGGATCTGGGCAAAGTCAATTGAAAACCTTCCAGAAAGAATTCACCATTCTACGCCATTAACAACATCCATGACTCATGGGAAGAGGTCAAAACATCAACATTAACAGGAGTTAGGAAGAAGTTCATTCCAATCCTCATGGATGAGTTTGGGGGTTCAAGACTTCAGTGGAGGAAGTAACTGTAGGTTTGGTGGAAACAGTAAGAGAACTAGAATTAAAGGTAGAGCCAGAAGATGTGACTGAATGCTGCAATCTCATAAAACTTGAATGAGCGAGGAACTGGATGAGCAAAGAAAAGTGGTTTCTTGAGATGGAATCTATTCCTGATATAGACGCTATAAAGACTGTTGAAATGACAACAAAGGATTCAGAATAGTACATGAACTTACTTGATAAACCACTGTAGGGTTTGAGAGCACTGACTCCAATTTTGAAAGAAGTTCTACTGTGGGTAAAATGCTATCAAACAGCATTGCATGCTACAATGAAATCCTTTCTGACAGGAAGAATCCAGCTTTGTGGCAAACTTCACTGTTGTCTTATTTTTAAAAACTGCCACAGTCACCCCAACCTTCAGCAACCGCCACTCTGATCATTCAGCAGCCATCAACACAGGAGGAAGACCTTCCACCAGCAAAACACTGACTCGCTGAAGGTTAGCATTTTTAGCAAGAAAGAATATTCTAATTAAGTATGTACGTTGTTTTTTTCAGACAGAATGAGATTGCACTTAATATTGACTGCAGTCTAGCATAAAACATAACTTTCATATGCACTGGGAAACCAAAAACCTGTGACTCACTTTCCTGCGATCTCCACTTTACTGTGGTGGTCTGAAACACAACCCACAACATCTCCACTTTGCCTTGTGCCATGTAAGCGCCCTGGGCATTACCATCATAAACCAATGGCCTTAACTGTTCCCTCTCTCTTTCCATTCCAAATCACTAGCTTTTCCTCACCACCTTCCGGGTCACCAGGGCTATGAAGTGAAGTCAATGTCCTCCCTTGGCCCTCCTCTTCCCAAAGCCCTGTGTTCCCACTTCCCCGGAACTACCCCAATGCCTTGAGCCCAGCCGCACATTCCCATCTCCTTAGGCACTGCTGTTCCCTCATCCAGGAGAGGTCGGCTCTCCCAGTGATTCCCTCACCCTGCAAACCCAAAACAAACGTCGCCATGTGGGGAACCTTCCTGAAAACCCACTGTACTTTGTACCCATCTCAATGGCAATAGCGCTTTATGTGAAAATTATGCAGTCGTTCTCCTTTTACAATTAGCTCCTTTTTGCTTCATATTTTAATATAATAGAATCAAAACGGGTTTTCAACTTTTCATGTACTATAAAGAAACAGAAAGAGATGTACAAAAGGAATTCCCACACAGACGTCTAGGCTAGATAAGCTATGGTACACATTCAGAGCACATAATGAAAATAAGTTTTAAAAATAACTGAGTCATTTATGAGAAACTGAAATCACTTACAAATACCATGGTGTGTGCAGGGAATAGTTTAAATCTAAATGGCAATATGTTCCCATAACTATTTTTCAAATGCCTTCCAGTAAGAAAAGCCCAAAATCCCTTGTTAGCAATTCCTTTCCATTAACCTTAAACACTTTGTAACTTAAAATGCAGCTTCAGTTTTTTATTCCTTTGACGCTAACACTGTTTGAGGGATTTAATAAGACATTCAAGAAAATGTAAAACCTTTTAAAAGGGAAAGTGATTGGCTAGTCTAGCTTTGCAATGGTTGCAGACGAATCCTAAAATGCAAAGCATCTTTGGAATAAGCTATGAGGTTAGCAAAATAACTGTTCTCTTATGAATAAGAAATAAAAAATGAGGACAAAATAGATTCCTTTGAAACCTTCAAAATACCATAGCTAAGACATATACATCCCTGCTGCTACTCCAAGTTGGTTTTTAAAATGTATACCTCTGGGGTGATATCAGCTTCTGGTTCACTGACCAGTCTGTACTTCTTCCCATTCTGCAATAACTTATGGCAGACAGGAGGCTTGTCGATTTTCATGAATTTCTTAGAGGAGTGCTTGACAGACTTTGAAATATCCTGGAGATGAAAATTTGGTTATGAAACGCATCAGCAACAATGGTAAGAGCTGTCTAAGAGACACGCCATGCGGCGCCAGGCTCTGATTCTGTGGGTGTGGGGTAGGGCTGAGTGTGTGCTAAAACTTTAACAAGCTCCCAGCTGATGCCGATGGTCCTGGTCCCCTGGGTCCCAGGCCACATCCTGAGCAGCAATGCTGCAGCTGGCCTCGTCTGTCCATGCAACCTCTCCAGGGCAAGGCCTGCTTGCCTGGGCCAGCCACGTCCCTAGCGTTACTTCCCCATCTGTTGGCTTCTTGTTGCTCTTCACCTGTATAGACAACCGTACTCTGTGGATCTGAGGAACTGGGGCACACCTAGGCACTGACATTATAACCTCTGCAGGTAGGTGCCAAATTAGACCCAATGGTGGGGGGTACTCAACAGGGACAGGACTCACACCTAACTGTGTTGTAATGTTTGAACACAAAGTACTCAACATTTATTATTCATTTTTATTGGCTTTACCTTGATGAAGGACTCGTTGTTAGTTGCCACGTACACACGAAAAGACAAGGATGGATTATGGTCGATGACTTTGTACAGAATCACAGCCCCGTGGTGGTATAATGTTTCTTCACTTTGAATAACAGGTCCCACAGGAGACAGAGAGCTCACGTGCCATTTGACATGGGTTGCAGAATGATCCACAGTACATTCTAAGGAGGCCTCAGAATTTTTGATATGCAGGACCCTGAATGTCATATTGGCATCATGGCCTGTTAAAATATGAAGGTAAATTAGTGTTCCAGGCATTAAGAGGGACACACACACACATGCACACAATAATTAAAATTTTAGCAAAAATACTAAAGTACTTACGACCCAAGCAGAGGGAATGTGGAAACTGAATGGAGGTAAGACAGGCTGGGTCACATTTAACATCAAACAAGGGTCCTCCAACAGCCCAGGGCTTCACAACCAGGTCTGCGTATTTGCTCCAGGACAAAATGCAATACTTGATGTCAACTTTTCCGTTAACCTCAAATATCAGACCAGTTTCCGTGCACTCGTAAACTCCCTCCATGTCCACCTTCATTCTGCATTGGACAGATAAGAACACCTGTTTAATTCTAATGTTTGGTTAGGAGAGGACTTCTTAAAATTATTTATGTTTTAAATTTCATTCAAAAGCATTAAGGAAACTCTACAGCATTTTGAAGAAGCATCATTATCAAAGAAAACAATCCAAGTAAGTACATAAAATGTGTGAAATTAGTTATGCTATCTTGTGTCTCCTCAATTGGGGTTATCTTTATGCAGAAAATTAAATTACTGATGATACTACTTCCTGTATTCATAATCACTTACAAAAACTGTCCCCCGGAAAGGCGTCTGGGTGTCACTTGTTCATTGTGTTTCTGGAGGAGAAAGTACATATGTAATATATAAGTATATGTTTTCTTAAATAAGGCAAATTAGAGAATCATATTTTATAATTAAAAGAGACTTACATTTTCAGCATTACAGTGTTCACAGTGAGGTTCAATTTTAATCGATTCTAAATAATAGAGACAAAGTTTTACTTATATGAATGTGACTGGCATTTTCAAATAAAATTTTTAAATAAACATATGTAATATGCCCAGGTTATAAAATTCAAGGGTATACATGCCCCCCAACAATAATGACATTTAAAAGAAAGTTTTGGAAAACCAAAGTTCATACCTGAATTAAAATGACCGGTGGGCAATTCTTTATCCTCCCATTCTTTAGCTGTAAAAGATATCGTCACACATGTATTGGCACGAGTCAATCACGGGGTAAATCACCTAATACTTAAACACACACCTTCAGCATCACAACCAACAGGAACTTTAATCTTATACTTAAACATCTCTGTGAGTTGATTCAAGGATACAACACATTATCATATTTGTGAATCCCACTGTAGGTCTAATGCATGAAAATAATGTATGACTCGAGTTTCAATGTACCCCATTTGGGCACATAATTCTTTTTTTTTCATCTGATTTTTGGAGAGGAAGAAAAAAGGAGAGGGCGTGAAAGAGAGAGAGAGAGAGAGAGATGACAGAGAAACATTATTCAGCTGCCTCCCACCTGCATCCCAAACAGGACTCAAACCCAAAACCCAGGCATGTCCCCTGACCGAATCGAACTGGCAACCCTTCAGTGCATGGGACGATGCCCAACTGAGCCACACCAGCAGGGCTGGGCACATTATTCTCTGTCTGACGTTTTTATGCAGTAGCCACTGCTCCCATCCCCCTTCAACCTGACCCTCACAGCCCCCTGACGGCACAGCCTGGGGAGAGCAGGGTAAGCAGACAAAATAAGAGGCGAGCACACTGCCCCACTCTTACCCTGAGCAGACGCACCCTCGGTGGGAGACTCTCCCAGTTCCCCATCTGTGGAGACAAGAAGGGCTTAGGGCACAGGTGCTCGTGAACAACCTCCGCACCCAGCCCAGCTTCTCAGCCGGAGTGCTGCAGCCCACTGAAGGCTGACAACTAAGCAGGAGTCATTATTCCCCAGACGAGGCTTGGCTGGCACCAGCCCTCCAGACTGTTACAGAGTGCGAGAGAGATTAGCTTGGAAGTGAAGAAGGGGCTAACACCTGATTTCAGACATAAACCAGAACCTGAGTTGAGGCAGTTTGTAAGCCTCTCTGATTTGGCTCACAGACTCCTTCCACAAGGCTCCAGACCCAACAGGATCCAGGTCCCCACCTCCCGGCAATGACTGCCCTCCAATCACTCCGGGCGTTCCTCCACACCAAAGCACATCTGCCTCAGGGCCTTTGCACTCCCCACCTACTCCCACAAATATTCATGCTGCTCACTCCCTCACATCCTGGAAGTCTCTGCTCTAGTGTCCCCTTATCTGAGAGGCTTTCCTGCTGCCCCCGCCCTGAAACAGGGCCTGCCTGATGCCCTCACACTTCCGCAATCATTTTCCTTCCGCACCCTCCCCACCGGGCCCCCTACAGCTCGGTGTTTCTGCTTCCTGGCCCTCTCCCCACTAGAATAAGCTTCGTGAGGACTGTTTCGCTAGGGCCTGGTATGTGTCAAGGCCTGTTTTCTGGATTTCATAATACAAAAGAGTACTACGAAAGGGAGCAGCACTGAGCTTTCCTATCATCCACGCTGGCCACTAGCTGCACGAGCTTGGGCTCTCCAGTTACCTTACTAAGTCTCTCCGTGCCTTTCCCTCCTCATCTGTCAAAGGAGGAGTAAAATAATACCACCCCAAGTGAGGGAAATTAATTACAGGTAGGGATTGTGCCTGGCACTCAGCAAGCCCTCGGTGTGTGTTACCTGTTATTAACTATTATTTTATGATGGCAATGGGTAGGAATCAGTACAAAATTCAAGAATTCTGAAGTAGAAAACAACCGTGTCACTTGGGGTCAGATGCTTGGTTTTATATTTTAAAACTGTGAACAACTTTTGGGAGGGTCACCCCAGGGGTGACACAGGCACTTGCCAACACAGGTTTAAGGTCCTCTGCCAGTGCCTGGAGGGTGCAGACACTCCCCCAGGACAGAAGCCCCGCCGCAGCCTCACAGGCTGCCTGACTTCTCAGGATATCAGAGCAGTCAGTGTCCAAGGGCCAGGGTCGCGAGAGATCCAACTTGAAAATACAGTGTTAAAATGCATGGTCAAAGGAGACCGAAAATACTCAAATCCTGGACTCAGAATACGAGAGATGAAAAGGTTCTGAAATACCGACCCGTCCTGCACCACACAACCCGCCAATCAGATTGCCTCAGCCACTGTCCTTTGAGGGATCATGAAACCCTAAGTTATTTATCTGTCTACACTGTATTTCATCCACACCCCACCTTTTTCTGCCGTGCTGTACGCCCGGGCGCAGAGAAAGGAAGAGAGGTTAGAGAGTCCCGACCAGCAGGCAAACGCAGCCTCTGCCAGGTCTGCCCAGCCCAGGCAGAGAAACGGATGCACTTCTCCCCAAGCTCTTCAGTCTGTATGACAAGGCGATCGTGAGCACGATGGGCGGGCTGCCAGCCCACACGGAGAAAGCTTCCCGGGGTGGACCACCTCCTCCTACATCTGACCTGAGAATAGAGGTGAGTGGGAGGTGTCTGTCCCCATCTCTCCCCCAGAGTGGAGAATAACAGGCCTTTTCACAAAAAGAGTAACCCTGGGGGAAGGCAGGGCCTTTCCACTTTCACTGCCAAAGACATGCAGGTGTCTGGCCCAGCAGGGTGGGCCAGCTGCTCCCTGCCCCACACACGCCTCGCCTGACCGCACTGACCCCAGAGCCCCCAGCCTGCCACCCAGTTCTGGGCCTAATTTGGGCTTCGCTGACTCCAAATGCCTTTCACCAGGGTTACCCACCATGGCCCAGACCTGGCTTCTGGACCATCAAGGTCCTGCCTCTGGAATCTGGGTCCCCATGGCCATTTACCCAGCTAGTAGCCAGACACACAAAAGACATGATCCCAATACACAGCTTCTTAATTCAATTTCTACCCCAATCCAATCTATGAAGGCTGGACTTTTGACCACATTTTGAAGGATGAAATAATTCATTAACGTATAAAGAAGACAGGGAGTAAGACAGCTGGCTCATGTTTCCCTTATGGATATCAGAACGGACCTTACTCCACAAGGGGAATACAGAGATAATTACAGGTTCTTACCAATACATAACATGATTGCAAAGAGCTTACAATTGCCTTCAGAGATTCCCGTTGGGAAACTGCAGAGAGAATTAGATTAAACACTGAAGCACTTCTGAGTGAAGAGACTTCATTTATTTCAAGTGTTACTAAGAAGCCTTCCAACTGCCTTGTACAGTATTTGTGTTCATGGGCAAATCATACCCTAAGAACTGGGGAAAAATCATACAGTATAATGAACTCAGTTAAAATATAAGCTTAGGCACTCACCAAACTTGAGACGCAAACCATATTTTTTTATACCTTAGAACCTATGTCCTTAAAAGTGGTTTCATACTCAAGTTGCTCACAAATAGCCAGAGCAGCAAGCAGAAACGTTAAACCACAAATGGTACAACATTTTCAGCGGCGAAGTGCTTGCTCTACCATCACTGTGAGCAGTGACCCCCACGGAGGGAAGCCTGCACCTCTTGTGGCCACACTGCAGATCGGATTCGGCCTCGATCTTTTCTCCTTAGGGACGACGCATGAGAGACCCTCACAAGCAGACTCAGTGTCAGTGCAAAGAACACAGTCCGTGTGGACCAAGTGCAGTGAGCTCCAATGTTCAAAATGCTTGGCGGCTGCCTAACGTTTAACTCAGTTTTGCACAGGAAAAGATCATGAACAAGCAACTTGCAACTTCAAAACCCCAAAGGCTAACCTTCTCTTCCTTTCAACAACAAAAGAAAAAATTCAGAGGAAGGATGTACTTACTTGTTTTTTCTGGTTTTGGCTCCTCATTATCTACAAAAAAAAAAAAGGGTCTAAGTCCGATTCAGATGACAGCTGAGGGAAAACACAGGCCAGTGGGAGAATTGGTAAAACGTTTGCCTTTCACCAATAGCAACCATTTCCTGTCTTTCTTCCTCAGCTCATCCTGTTTTGCCACTTCGCTTGCCAACTAAAATTATTTCCCATGTAAGTGCTTTTTCAGTACAAAACCATGCTGGAAATTAATGTGTCCTCAAGCAATGAGTGATGTCTGCCTTACTTAAAAGAAAAAGAAAAAGAAAGAGTCCTATGTTTTACTTGCATTAAAGAAGCAGGTACATATGGTACTTACCAGAGTCGCTTTCAGAACCGCTCTCAGAGCCGCTGTCCTCTCCTGAATCAAGACATAGGCCAGAAGTACACAACAAAAAAGAAGCAGGAACTATTGTAATGACACATATTATAAAACAGATCCTCTCAAGTCCAAAACTAGGCTGGTTCATATAAAAGGGGGCTATTCTCCTTTGGAAACGGATAAAATAAACTTAACCCGTTTAAATACGAGCTCAGCTCACACTCTGGCTACAGTCATTTTAAATGGGTGTCACCCAAGTCCTACCCGGCCTTGACCTGCCCTACTGCTCCCCTCTAGTCCTGCACTTGTGCATCTAGAAGGTTCCCAGGCACAAGGTCAATGATACAATGGGGCAGAATTCTGGAGTGCAGAGGCCATTCCACAGATGCACAGGACAAACTCAGTCCACGCTGTTCACCTGCTCTTGAAGGGTGGTCCCCAAGAATGCTCCCTTCACTTCCTCACCACCAACTCAGTACTTCCGCCCACTGCAATCAGGCTGCTGTTCCCACACTTAGTCTGTGATCCTCTCCCTCACTTCCCCACAGGCCTGCTCAACCCAGGCCCTTGGCATCCACAGGGAAACACATCAACCACTTCCTCCTGCCCACACGACCTTCCCCTGGAGCCTGTCCTGGCTCTCCTCCAACCTCTCTGAGGCCCTCCACTTGCCTCCCAGCTCCTTTCCACCCCAGCCCCTCAACTACTAACACTCCAGGCCCCACGCCCCACGCCCAGCCTCCTTTCCAATCATCTGACCTTCTTTAGTCTCTGGAATCAGCACTGTACACTTTCCCACATCAGGGTCTTTATACCTGCAAGTCTCTTGAACTAAGACAACCCTTCCAGCCTATGCCCTGTTACCCCAATTTATCATCTCCTCCAGGAAGCCTCCCAGGACTACCCAGCCAAGTGTCCACCTCCTGGCTGGGCTCACAGAGGAACCTGTATTAGGTTAGAGTGGTCAGTTTAAAAATGACCTAATTGACCTATCAGATAAATTCTCCATTTCACTAAGTACAGCTTTATCACCAAACTTTGAAATGTATTCAACTCTTTCAACTAGAAAGATGGAAATCCCTTTCACTGATTATTTGAAGTGAATCAGGAAAATAAACTGTTATTTACCTTGCTATAAATTGGTTATTTTATAAAAATTTCACTTGGGCCCTGCCCAGTTTGGCTCAGCGGTTAGAGCACTGGCCCGCGGACCAGAGAGTCCTGGGTTCAGTTCCCCCTTAGGGCATGTACCTGGGTTGCAGTTTGTCCCCGGCCCTGGCTGGGGTCGTGTGGGTAGCAACCAGTCGATGTTTCTCTCTCTCTCTTCCTCCCTCTCTCCCTCCCGCTCTATCTGAAGATGAATGCAAAAATGTCCTAGGTTAAGGATAAAAAAAAGGTAAAAATTTCACTTAGGCATTGACCAGTATTTCCCTTACCTGACTTAGAGTCCTTTGAAGTGTTTAGGTTGGGGCTGGGGCAATCTAAATTTTGAGAATGAAATACATGTTTAAGAGTGTAAATACAACCATAAAATGAAACATTATGTTCTATGTTTTAAAAGCCACTAAGCCAGTAATAATTGAAGCGCCCTCTACTATAAACTGAACCACCTCTTTAGACCCACAACAGCCTTGCATGTCAAACTAATGCAAATGATGCCATATCCTTGGGGGAAAGATTTAGACCAAGAAACCTTAAGCCTTTTCCAGTAGAGGGAGAACAGAAAGCCAACAAACTTGAGATTTACACTTGGTTGGTCCCTTGGTAAACACTGACTTTGGTGCCAAAGGAGCTGTATTGTCTCTCTGATCAGCTCAGCGGCTCCCTAAACACATCCCTGGCAATTAAATGACTTGACACCAGAAAGAGAAAGAAAGGCACCTGGTTTTAGATTGTGTAACTGAAGGGCAGACAACGGTATTCCTGTACTAAAATCAATGTTCTTCCCCAGGCAAACGATTGTCAACAATTTAGTGAAATGCCGCCAGTGGGTGGAAGCTAAGGCTCTGAAGTTGGCAAGATACGTTATGCTCAGGCCAGGCACGGCCTGGAATGTGACTGGGAAAAACGGGCATCCCTGAAGGTTCTCCGACAGGGAATGGCATGGAATGACATGGAGACACAGCGACGTAAGAGCTTCAAACTGGCTCTTGGGGTCCCCAGGATGTTGGTGGCTACTGGAGAGCACTGCTGTTCAGATGGATTCGACTCCTCACACCAGGAGGCCCCTGCAGAGACCCAGATATGAAGTGACGAGAGTCTAGGCCAGCGTGAGTGGGCATGGGAATGAAGAAATGACAGATGAAGGAAGGGGTGGAAGAAGTTACCTCCAACATTAAACATGTTGTGAGGGAAGGACTGCTCCTTAGTCATTATGCCTGTGTCTGTATTTATGCCACTCTCCTTAGACTGCCCCAGAGAACAGGACCTAGTCTCCCATTTCCCCTGGATCTGGAACATGCATCCACACTGGGCTGGTGAACGACAGGGACTTAATTACTGGTTGACTAATTCCCTTGTGCTGCGGCAGAGACTACTGTCCCCCCAATTTTATAAACACTGACTTAGTGTCCACTGTGTGATGGGCACTCTGCAGAAATTAGGAGAAAATCCATGCCCCAGAAAGCAGCTTATGGGTTAATGCAGTTGTGAAGGCAGGAGTAGCTGTGCATTAGACAAAGCGCTGCAAGACATCACAATACAATACAATACGGTATTAGGCCAGTATTTTGCTGGTCCAAGAGAGAAATTAAGACCAATCACTGAAGATGAGGGATTCAGCACAAGTCTGTGAATCTGGCTGAGCTGAAACAAGTCTTGGAGGCGAAATGTGAGGGAAGGGAGCGGCATCTTGGGTACACAGAAATGGGGGCAAAAGCAACACAAGGGGTGTGTTATGTAGACGGGAGGTGCAGGTCAGCACTGTGAAGCAGGAGAGCCCACCAGGTCTGACCAGTCTTGACAGATGCATGGCATCCCCATACAATGCACACTGTAGCCAAATGCTGCAAAAACCTTTAGTAGATTGTAATCATGACACTTCTATCAGGCAGGCGATCGTTCTGCACTGAAAAAATGGACTACAAGAGGCATTTTTTTTTTTTTTTTTGCAGAACTTGCAAAAGTAAGATAGTGGCCCAAGCAGTGACACAGATTTACACCTCAAGTGGCCTCGGTACCATCCTCCAGAATGGCTCTCAGGCACACAGTGTGGAATAAAGAGAACGGGCCACAGCAAGACATACAGCCCTGCACACATTTCACAGACCTTCAGTCAAGCAGCACAGGTCAGAAAGAGGACTCGACCCTCAGCAGTCCCACACCAAACCCAGAGGCAGACCTCGTTTACTCCTTTAGTAAGAAGAGTTCTTGTTTGACCCAGATTCAGGGAGAGAACTGTGTTGCTATTTTCATTAAGTGTGTAAAACTGATGACTACACTCAAGTATTAAAAATAACACCTAGTTTTTAAGCATGGAAAATTTATAGAATTCAGTTGATAATACTTCATTAAACTTACTTTACTGAATTTGAAATACAGTTAAAAAGAACATTAGACCCAGAGGTTAAAAGGAGTGAGATACAAGAGCATTTATATTCTATTATCGAGTTGTAAAAAGCTCCAAAGGCCCAGATTCTTTGCAGTTTTACCTTTTTTAGTATCTGTTGAAAAATAACCATAAAATTCTTTAAAAATCCCATCATCATAACCTAATGATTATTTAAATATATTTCTATAAATCAGTGAATGCATGAATGTAACAAAGCAACTGCAGTCAGTAAGTAAAATTAAAGAAATCCTTTTCTAAAACTGCAAACATTTCGCATAGTTTTTCAATAACACAGACTTAGAGGACCATACCTTTTTCTTCTGAAGACGCACTGTGATCAACACTAGAACAAGAAAAGAAAAACACTTTTAGAAACTGATACTAATTTTATACACAGTAATTATGAGAACCTTCAAAATGATCACTGTATTATGTTTCTCCAGAAATGTTGCAGTTTAAGAACTTTCTCCCCCCTCAATCCTCTGCTTGCCCCTCTCAATCTCCATGGCCTGAGTCCAAACTGCACAGAAACAGGGCATATTAATGTGCCCTTGAACTCCTTGTCCTGGTACTCCCCCAAGAGCCACCAGCACCCCTTCCCAGGTTCACAGCATTGCCATGCCCATGGCCGGCCATCGGCCTTCCTTGGTCATGTCTCCGGTAACAAACCCTAATCGCCCATGCTGCACCAGCCTCCAGCCCCTCCACCTGGCTCCCTCTGAGAGCCTCTCCCTGGTCCTCTCCTCTCCCACTAGGTTACTCACTCTGCTGCTCTGGCCTCCCCCGTCGGAATCAGCATGCCTGGGAAGTGAAGGGCTCAGAGAGCTCCCAGGTATCTAAGCAGTCCCTCCCGACCTGGGTTTCATCCGCACCACTGCCCGAACCCTCTCTTTCCCCGTCTTGAGCCAGTTCACAAAAGAACTCAGTCTCCACATTCCCACTCTCCATTCTCTCCTAGACGCTAAGCCATCTGGTTTCTGCTCGCCCATGTGACGGAAACCACTCTGGCTAGAGCCACCAATGACTCCTGTCCAGCAAGACCCAAGGGGCTTAGTGACCTTTCTCTTTAGATGAAGCAGGTGACAGGCTCCTTCATGGCTTCCAGGCCCCTCTCACCTGGTCTGCTCCTACCTCCCCTCTCAGGGGCCTCTCCTCTCTCCACGTGCTCCATCTCCTGGATCCATCGGCTCCAGCCCCCTGGGGACTGACGTGACCCAAAGTCACACTGTGTACCCTCCTCTTACCGCTCCTCACTGCCTCGGTGGTCACCTTCACGCCTTCAGATCCCAAATCTTGACTTCCTTCTCAGGACTCTTCTCTGAGTTCCAGGTGCCTGGGACCTGAGGGTCACTGAGCCTCCTCCCGCACACCTCTCATATCTGTCCCCTCCTCATACACTGTTCCTGCCTCAGTTCAAGTGCCCTCATTGGCTCTCACCTGGTTGGTTGATTATAACTTCCTAACATCAAATCTGCCTGCAGCCTCTCCCTTGGCCCATCCCTCATGTGACCCTCAGCATGTTATAACCCTGGCTTTGCTTACGCCCTTCTGTGGCTTCTCACTGCTTCCTCAGTTCGCTGGCATGACACGAGAGGGCGGCCACACTGCTCCCTTGTCGCCCACGCTGCCCGCTCCCTCAGCGTGAAAGCTCTTCAGTGTCCCAAGCACACCCTGCACATCACACACTCGCACAAACCACTCTCTGTGGAGCCCCCCAGGGTCACTGCCTGTGACCTTGTAGGTCATGCACCCCAATTCTGGGTGCTCCATGGATGGGTACTATGATGCTGGGGTACCCCCTAGAGTTGTGTGTGCATGTAAGTGACAGCATGCCCTCCCCCATGATGCCCAAACTTCTACTCATCCTTTAAGAACAGATTTGCAAGGTGTGGTCTCAAGGCCATTAGAACTCTTTCAGATAACCACTGAAAGTCGTTTTTCTGGTCCATTGAATCAGAATCTTTGATGAATGAATGAAAAGGCAAGAAGAAAACAACAATGGTGTTATCAGCACTAATGGGTGTTGAAAATCTTTATTTTCTCCTTTTATCATCCCAATAAGCCTAGGAAGGCTAGTTTACAAATGCGGAGACTAAGGCCCAGAGAGGTTAATTAAGTTCCTCAAGGTCACACAGCTAATAAATTAGGAACAAATGCACATGACCCTAGGCCATTATGACTTCTGGTACCATGTCTTCCCTCACTCCCTACCACTTCACCCCCAAATCCCAACTGCTTCCTCAGTTTAGTAAAAGTAAACTGAGGAAGAAAACAGCAAAAGGTACAGACCAACAGCTTGCTCTTTCCCTTCTTTGCCCAGGTTAGTGGAACTCCCAGACTTTGTAAACCTCCTTGACTTAAGATTTTATACTGGCAAACATTCCCAGTATATATACGGTATTTTCCCAAGTTCCATGATTTTAGGAAATACATGTATTCCCAATTTGAGACCTAAATCCTCTTGTTTTTTTAATTCTAAACTCCTGCTCAAAAGGTCAGAGAGTGGGATGAACCTGAAATTGGGAAATGCTTCAAGAAACTTGTTCTTGTATGTACTCCTGATGTAATATGTAAAAGAACAAGCCAAACCATTGTCACTGTGCCTTTCAATTTTAAAATAATTATGAGAACATGGATTGAGAGTTAGCCATTCTTATTTTATAAAACGTGTCTGCTTAAAACTCACTTCCGTGTCCTCACTGACAAAAGCGCATTTTTCTCTTAACTGGCACTTTCATAATCCCCTTTCTACAGCTGCTTATCTCTATTTCCAGACATTTATACATCTGCTTAGATATTAGACCTTCTGCTAAAACCCAGAAACCTCTGTATAAAAACCTTTATTTTCTCCATGGCAGATAACAGTAAGTGATGGCCGAGACAAGATTAGTGAGACTGCAGAGCAGACAGCCAGCTCTCTGCACAAAACACCTACCTGACAGTTAACAGAAATGGGAGACAGGCTCGGACCCAGTGAGGAGCAGCCCACCCACAAGGCAGCCCTCCTGCCCCTTGGTACAGCCAAGCGGAGGAAGCAGAACCTACAGGACCCACAGGACCCTTGCCATTCCATGGATGTTAGATCCTCACATTCTCTTCCTCTCTGTTTTTTTTCATGTGGCTTGTTATAAGAAAACCACAGCAACCCTGGACAGAGACCACCCATTCCAAATGTTCACAGTGTAATTTAGGGACCAGAAATCAGCAGAGAAGGGGCATGGACATTTACTTAATGGCACTTAAAACTCCTTAATTTTGGTTGGGACTCAAACATTATTACTAGGTATAACGTTGTGCCTATCAGCTGCCAAACCCCACCTTATTATACCTTTCCCTTAATAGAAGGTGGAGGATGGGGGAGGGAGGGGATCCTGCACTTTGCCACAGTAAAATCTCTGAACTACAACAGGATTTAAAGAACAGGCTTAAGACTTCAAGGGGGTAATATTAAATGAGGGTATTTATTGCATGTTTGTTGAAAAAAATGTGGATTATATGCAAATAGGTGCAAATGAGTAAAACAACAAAACTGTGGTTGGAATTAAATCACGGCTGCAGCGAAATGAAACCTAGAGCAAAACCAAATCCTCGCGTAGGCACAGTACGTTGGCGCTTTCAAACCCACGAGTGCACCAGCTCCGCCCAGTAACTGCCAGGCATGCGGGCAAGCACTGGCAGCCCCGGTGCAGAGGAGGACACAGAGCTCAGAGGGGTGAAATCAGCTGGCCAAACCCACACAGGCTGGTGGAGCAGGGAGCTGGAACTAGAATTCAGAACTTCTGACCTCAAAGGGAGCCTTTTCTCCCATCTCGGCACCCGGCTTGGCACCGGCTTGACTGTGTGCAGCCCAGACAGGTTGGTATCAGGTATCAGAACAAGTTCACACAAATCCTGCTTAGTGACCAGTAATTCTCCAGTTAAAGATTTTCAACAATGCTTTACGTAAAAATAAAATTGTAATATGATCGTAGCTAATATTTACTTAATGTTTACTGTGTGTCTGAAACTAAGCCAAGGACTAGGCGTGTGTCATAGCCACCTTTCTAGTGCCTATCAGCGAACCACTATTATCCTCATTTTACAGATGAGAAAACAAGGCCCAAAAGTTCTTGGGAAATGTATCCAAGAACCCTGGTCCATCTAGTTGCAATGCTCAAACGTTTACCAGTATGTTTTACCAGAGCAAAACACTTATCAGTCTTTCCTCCTAAGGCTCCTACTGCCTGTGAAGGTAATTCACAACTATAGTTACATTACAGTTACTAATATCAAGTTTTCAAGCATAATTAAATCCATAATAAGCCCCAAATCCTCCTTTAACTAACTTTTCACCAGAATTAAACCAACTAGTATTTTACTTCTTTTAGCCCCAATACACCTTCTAGAAAATAAGCCATAGGAAGTAAATGGGTTCAAGAGAGTGGAAAAGAGTTTATATTAGTCACACACTACAGTTAATCTGTATAATCACCAAGTAGCTATACTTCCCAAAACATAGTCAATGAAAGTAACATTCTCTATAATGCATATCTCTTTCATCAACTCAAATTAACAAACACCTATTTACCATATAATAGGTGCTATTCTAGGTAGAGGGGGATATAAAAGTAACAGATGACACATGAATGAACCCTGTCCCCAAGAGGCACACTAATGGAAGACAAATCAGAAAATAAATGTATATGAAAAGCAAAATAAAAACAAAGGTAAGCTATAGTATTCACTCAGAACAGACTATGATGAACTGAGAAGAACTGAACTCTTATGCTAAAAACACAAGCACGTACCTAACTACAAGGCCAGTCAGTGAAACTATGATGCTAAAGCCATCTTGCATTTTCAGAGTGTGACCATTCCCCAAACAGGATCCTCTGTTAGAAAAACTTGAAACCGAAAAGGAACCTATAAGAGCTCCCAAGTCTAATTAATTATTTTACAGAGAAGAAGATGAGACTCTAGGAGCGGTCACGTGAATAAATACCCAAGATCACACATCAAGTTAGAAACAGAGACAATCTTACAACTTGCCTAAGCCTCTTGCTTTACATATCGATTCACTCATTTAATAAACATGTTTGGGTTGTGTACTAGGCACCAGTGAACAAAGCAACTGGGTCTGTGCCTTTGAGAAACCTGCAGAGAAACCATCAGCCCTCTGGAGACAGACTTCCTCTATCTGAAACAGGAGGTGCTTTGAGAGAGGACAAGAGCTTGTCTAAGATTGAGGAACTGGGGAGTGCTCCAGGGGAAGTGACTTTTAAGCTGAGCCACAGAGGACAAATGGGAACAGACAGGAGAAGAACTGGTGGGGGCAGGGTGGGGCTCGAGAACGGGAACAGGGGTGGGATTCTTTCTGAGGGAGGGAGAAGTTGATCAAGGAACAGAAACAGGAGGAAAGCAAGTGTGGTCGGAGGTAGAAGCAGGAAATGAGGAGGGACAGGGAAGTGGAGAAACCCTAACTATGTAACCAAACTGATGACAGCCATTCAGTCTGCTGGGTAGTCTCCAGGAATAACTGAAACTTGAGAGCGGAGGAGGAAGTCAACAGCGCAGGGTCTCAGAATCTACTGTCTTCAACATCAGACATAGGGATGCCTGACCCTGTGCGACCCCCAGCAATCTGCAGGTTCAGACAGTGACTGTGTTGAGTCCAAAAGGCCCAAGGACTTTCCCAAAGAAAACCGCACTCTTCCAGGCCACATAAGCCAGCCTCCCTGCTCAAGACGGTGTAGGCTAGATGAAGAGTCCTGCTCAGGAGGCTAGGTAACTTAAAGCACACTGCAGGGTCACAGCCTTCACTCAGAATCGAGCTCTGGAAGCCAACAACAGAGCCAGGCAAGGGCAGGACTTCCTTAATGCCAAGCCCTCTGGGACCTGGCTCTAGGGTGGATCAAGGACTAGACAAGAGGAAGGTGGGGGGCAGGAGGAACAGGTAGGAGAGATGAAGGCATCCTGAGCTGCCAGCTATTGATTTCCTTAGGAGACACTTCCCGAGACAGGCTGCTTTCCCATCATGGCCCAGTTTCTTTTCTAAACACTTCCAATCAACGCGCCCACAATAGAAGCCTTCCCATAGCCTTTTTCCTTTTACGTCCAGGTCCATGAATGAGATGCTTGTGAAGGTATTCAGCTCTGGCAAAGATGGGAAATCCACAAGGCGGGCTTTCCAGTCTCTTTCACCACACCTCTTGCGCCCTTTATTCAGTCACACCAGGTGAAACTGGTAGCTCTTCGGGTATGAAAAGACTAAAGGATTCATTACATCATTATTTGTAAAAGGCAAAAGCTGGCAACAACTACCTTGCTCATCAAGAATAGAACAGATGAATAAAATGTGATCTAGTCATATAATGGAATACTGTAAGCCGTGATAATGAAAAGAACTGCTACACATAACTCTCACACACATAATGTTGCACAAAAGAAGCCAGACACAAAAGGGTATACACTGTGTGATTGACTCTATTTTGATCAAGTTTACAAGCAAGGAAAACTAATCTCTGGTTCCTTTGGGGAGGAAGGATATGACAGTAAAAGGAACGAGAGGCGCCTCTAGGGTGCCGTGTTCTATTTCTCGACCTGGGTGTTGAATACATAGATGTGTTCACTTTGTGGTAATTCATAGGCTGTACACTAAAGATGTTTGTGTTTTCTGTATGATGGTACACACACACACACACACACACACACACACAGAGGAAGGATTCCTCAGCATCTTGGGAAAGGAAAACTATTTAGGGCTTTAGCTTTGTGGACCGTGATTCCAAACAGCATGCCCCTGAGTAGTAGCAGAGCAAGGTGAAAAATCTGATTGCACTGGGAATACAGCCTAAATGGCAGCAATGGGCCTGAAGGAATTAGGGGATGTGGCAATTTTAGGGCTTACGCCCTTGTTCCTTCTTGTAACTGTCAATGAGTTCTCTGCATAATGTACCCCAAATGGAAGGGAAAGGGCTGGAAATAGGCTGGCAGGGAGGAGGAAGGTAGCAGGAACATTTCCAGCAGTGAGAGGACAAGGAGGAGATGAGAAAAAGGAGGAAGAGGGAAGAGAAAGAAATCCTAAGTGCCCAGGGTGGGCAAGGAGAGTTCACCTGGGCTGGGGTTACGTGGGGTGGGGGATTCCCACCACTCAGCCCAGTAGTAGGGATCCCTTCTCTACTCCCCTCCCTGAGCCAACATTTGATATACAACTAGATTAAAGGTTTCACTGCACTGCTCTGATGTGTATGAGTATGAGTGCGTGCGTGCGTGTGTATATGTGTGTGTGTGTGTGTGTGTGTGTATACAGCTCAAGATTCCACATCCCCAGCATTCAACATATTGTTTGGCATATAGTTTGCACTGGAAATAACTATGTTCATTGGACAAATAAAAGATAGAATATGGTAGTTAGATATAAGGTAGAGACTCTATTCCTCAATACTTAAGAAATCTGTAATAACAGCTTAATTAAGACCAAAAATGTGGGAATAGTAAGTTATCAGAGTGGCATATTGTGCAGCTACCAAAAATTACAAGCAACAGTAGCAAACATCTGGAGGGTGCTTTATAGTTTACTAAGACACCTTCTGTGTCTCACACAGAATTATAGGTAGGGACTTTGTTGCTACACTGAAATGTGAAAATGACACATTAGCAACAATCTCCCTGAAGAGGCCAAAAAGATGATAGTGGACTAACAAGTTTTGATGGAAAGGGATGGGGAAGGGTCCATATCTGAAAAGCAGTACTAGGAAGAGCTGGTAATTCTGAGTGGCCTGCAAAGCTTGGTTAGCTGTTTGTGTAAATAACTGTGCTAATTTCACATATTATATTTCACTTCACTTGTCTCTTTGGGGAAAAACTTCAGAGGCATTCTGAGTGAAACCTCTCAGAAGTGTTTGATGTTCAAAGTAGACTCAGTTCATGTTCTGGCGTGGTTTTGTTCATGCTCCTAATATCAAGAAGAATAAAAAAAAAGACAGCCCTGGCCAGTTGGTTGGGCACTGTCCCATGCACCAGGACATTCTGGGCACATGCCCAGGTTCAGGCTCATTCCAGGTGGGGGTGTGCAGGAGGCAGCCAATCCTTGTTGCACTCTTACATTGATGTTTCTCTTTCTCTCTCCCTTCCTCACTCTAAAAATCAATAAACTATTCTTTTTAAAAAAGACAGACTTTTTTCTAGGCTGTCTTCCTGACTGCAACGGTGTTTTTAAAGAAAGGACAAGAAAGAAAAAAACAAGAAAAAAAACCCTCTCTCCACCCTGAGAGAAGCTGAGCCAAATGTTTAATGGTCTGCAAAAAACTGAAGTGCGAACACTTTAAACCTTGGCATTGTCTTGTTCCTCTAGTTGTTCCTATAGAAACTTTGTTTTGCAGTCTGTGACTGTCCCAAAAGTAGATTCTCAGCAGTCTGAATCTTAGCTGAGCGCTTCTGCACTGCTTTGGGTGGACTTCCTGCAAGCACGCACTGCAATGAGAGCATTACTGAAAGGATGTATTTCACAAACCGCCCATCACGTGCCTTTTGCTGAAACACGACTTCCAGTGGAAAGGCCTGTTTGCAGATGACCGGGGAGGGAGGTACGGGGGGACGGACGGGACAGCCCACAACACTGTTACAGCTTTCCCAAACCAGTTTTTAATCAACGTGCTCATGTAAAGGGTCTGTGGGACACTGATGACAGAGGTACTTTTACAGTCATAGCACAAATTCTTCAAGCAGAAAGTTCTGTGGGCAAGACACTGTATTAGTGCCACACGGGAGCGAGAGGCGGAGGGGCGACTCCATGCTTAGGCAAAAGGGACATTGAGGGAACTAATCCTACTCTCCACTCAAACTACTTAAAAGTCGGTGGCCAAAGCGCCGACGGTGTTCAGAATAAAAGAAGAAGAAAAAAAAAAGAAAAAAAAGAGCATCCGCCTGGGGTCCAAGTCCTCCTCCATGTACAGAGGGCGCAAGGACTAAAGAGACCTGAAGCCAGAGAGCTGGGGGCAGATGAGGACAACAGAAGCAGGGCCTCGGGGCTGGGAGTCACCCAGGAAGGCGGGAAGGGCGCGAGTCCAGCACGGAGAGCAAGGGAGGCTCCGCAGCACGACCTGGCCTCTTCCACCCGCCCCCACCGGCCGGCCGCCCCCACCCGCAGGCTGCGAGCACACCGAGCTCACCTGCGGCCGCCGCGCGCAGCGGTCTACCGGCGCGGGGAAAGCGCGGCGCGGGGGCAGCGCGGCTGCAGGGGGCAGCATTGCCGCCCGTAGGCCCCGCCTCCGGGCCGGGCCAGCCGGGCCTCCCGAGCTGCGCGCCGCCGCCTCCTGCGCGGGCACCTGCGCGCGACCCCGGAGTCGCCGGCCCTACCCAGGTGCGGCCGCCCAGCCCTGGACCGCGGGTGTGGGGTCGTAATCCGGGTGCGAGTGCATCGCCTCCCCAGGCTTTGTACCCCACGCAGGGCAGGTGCCGCCGTCGAAGGGCTCTTTGTTTGTGCGGCCGGAGAGGGGATGCCGGAGCGGCGGCGGAGCCCTCGCCCCGCCCGGTCAAGGGCAGGGGCAGAGCCAGGGGTCGGGGTGCAACAGAAGGGCAAAGCCCCTTCCGCACGCGGCGATTTGGGCCCAGCCGCCCCCACCCCACCCCCAACCCGCTCTGCCCTTTCTCCTTCCGACCACTTCCTCGCGCCCCTCAGCCCTGCGGCTGCGCTCACCTGCTCTCCGCGACCCCCGCGCCGCGGCTCATGGTCGCTCGGCGGCTGGCAGGGCGCCCCACGCACGCCCGGGGCTCCGCCTCGGCTCCCTGCTGGGCGGCTGCAGGAGGGGCTCGCGTGCGGAGCGCTCCCTGCGCACCCGGAGAAGGCCGACGCTGCGGAGGATGGGAGGGAGGAGGGCGAGCCCGAGCCGGGGGAGGGGACTGGGCGGGAGGGGCGCCGGGCGCGCATCAATAGCTGCAGCCGGAGGCGGCCGGGGCTCCCGTACTGGAAACGCAAGCTCGCTGGCAGATCCGCGCGTGCACACTGGTGTGAACACCGGCGTGCACAGTCGCACACAACGGCCGCGCGGAGGCAGCTTGTCAGAACCTTCGCTCTGTGGGAACTCGGCTTGGTGACACTAACGCCAAGGCTTCTGTAAAGTAGAAGGGCCAGTGCCATTCTGGAGGGGACAGAGCGCTCAGGTCACCGTGATTGGAGTTGGATACTTCTGTATCTGGGTATTTTTACAGGGAACCACGCGACACCCCCCCCCAAGGGGTTCCTAGATTCGCTTCTTACAATCTGTAAACCCCCTGAAAGTCTATACCACACTATCTAAATACAGTTGTCTAGAGTGCGGGTCCACAGCCGTCATTGGATTAAAGAGCTGTGTGACCCCCACCACCACCCCAAACTGTAAGGATGGATGGATTAAACCAGTGGTTCCCAAACTTTGCTGCACATTAAATCACTCAGGGAGTTTTTGTTTTTGTTTTTTAATTGGGATGCCTGGAACGTTAGCACAGACTAATTTAATAGGTCGAGTGGGACACAGGAGATTTCGGTGTGCAGAAAAGTGCCAGAAACTCTGCTTAGATGCACTGTTTTTCACCCGGTTTCTTCGGCATGATTGTTTGCCTCTCTGGGCAGGGTCACCCTGCTCTCACTGGAGACCTAGGGTTCATGTTCACATGGGTGTGTGGGGAGCTAGGTTAGCATGCCCCTTACTCAATCAAACTTTAGCTTCCAGATGAGGCTGAGTTCCAACCCCAGCTCTGCCCTTTCCAAACCATAGGAATTTGAGCACGTAATTTAACTTATCTTCAGCTTCCTTGCAATAAAAAAATAAAAATGGTGAGGTGCCCTAGGAACTGGTATTTTAAAAACTGAGCTATAATTGACATAACATAGTTCATGGTGTACCATATAATGACTTGACATATCTATATATTGTGAAATGATCGCTACAGTGAGTCTAATTAACATCCATCACCACACAGTTACAATTTTTTTCTTTCCTTTTAATGAGAATTTTTAAGATCTACTCTGTTAGAAACTTTCAAATATACAATTAACACACACACATACATATACATGGTCCTCACCTGAGGATATTTTCCCATTGATTTTTTTTTAGATAGACTGGAAGGGGAAGGGAGAGAAACACTGATGTGTGAGAGACACATCAATTGATTGCCTCCCCAATGACCTCAGGGATTGAACCCACAACCTAGGTACATGCCCTTGACCAGAATCAAACCCACAACCCTTCGGTCCAAGGGCGGACACTCTAACCTCTGAGCCACACCAGCTAGGACAGGAATTGGTATATATTTCTCCCTTTTATTTTATTTTTTTTTCTTATTTATTCATTTATTTTTGTTACAGATGTTTCTCCTTTTTCCTCCATTGACACCCTTCTCTCCCTTCCTCCCCGCCATGTCCCCAGCTTTGTTGTCCATGTCCACTGGTTATGCAAATATGCATATAAGTTCTGTGGTTTATCTCCCCACACCCCCTCTTCTGGGGATTGTCAGTCTGTACCCTACTTCCACTTCTCTGGGACTACCCCATTCCTCAGACTGTTATGTTCATTATATTCCACAAATAAGTGAGATCATATGATACTTGTCTTTCTCTGTTTGGCCTGTTTCACTTAGGATAATACTTTCCAGGTCCCTCCATGTCATCTCAAAGGATAAGAGCTATTTCTTTCTTACAGCTGCATAGTACTCCATTGTGTACATGTACCACTGCTTTTTTATCCATTCGTCTACTGATGGACATTTGGACTGTTTCCAGATCTTAGCTATTGTAAATAGTGCTGCTTTGAACATGGGGGTACATATATTCTTTCTGATTGGTGTTTCAGGCTTCTTAGGGTATATTCCTAGAAGTGGGATCACTGGGTCAAATGGCAATTCAATTTTTAATTTTTTGAGGTAACACCATAGTGTTTTTCATAGTGGCTGCACCAGTCTGCATTCCCACCAGCAGTGTACTAACTAGAGTCCTCTTTTCTCCACACCCTCGAAACACCTGTTGTTTGATGATTTGTTGATGGCGGCCATTCTGACAGGTTGGCCTCATTGTTGTTTTGATTTGCATCTCTCTGATGCTTAGTGATGTTGAGCATTTCTTCATATGTCTCTTAGCCATTTGTATGTCCTGTTTGGAGAGGTGTCTATTTAGTTCCTCTGCCCATTTTTCAACTGGGTTCTTTGTCTTCCTTTTGTTGAGCTGTTTGAGCACTCTATATATATTGGAAATTAACCACTTATCTGATGTATCATTGGCAATTATGCTCGCCCATACAGTGGGTTGCCTTTCCATTTTAGTGGTTGTTTCTTTTGCTACGCAGAAGTTTTTTTGTGTGTTTGTTTGTTTTTTATCCTCACCCGAGGACATTTTTCCATTTTTTGTTCAGGTAGAGTGGGAAGGAGAGAGAGGAACAGAGAGAGAGAGAAAAACATCGATGTGAAAGGAACACATCGAGTGGATGCCACCCGCACGACTGACCAGAGCCGGGGACAAACTGCAACCGAGGTACATGCCCTTAGCGGGAACCGAACCTAGGTCTCTCAGGACTGCAGGCCGGTCCTCTAACCGCTGAGCCAAACCGGCCAGGGCAGAAGTTTTTGAGTTTGATGCAGTCCCATGTGTTCATTTTCTCCTTTGTTTCAGTTGCCTTAGGTGATGTATCAGTGAAAATTCTGCTGTGTATGATGTCTGAAATTTTGTTGCCTACATGTTCTACTAGGATTTTTTTAGATTCATGAGTCACATTTAAGTCTTTTATCCATTTTGAGTTTATTCTGGTGTGTGGTGTAATTTGATGGTCTAGTTTCATTTTTTTGCATGTAGCTGTCCAATTTTCCCAACACCGTTTATTAAAGAGGCCGTTTTTACTTCATTGTATGCTCTTGCCTCCTTTGTCGAATATTAATTGAGCATAATGTTTTGGGTTCATTTCTGGGTTCTCTGTTCTATTCCATTGATCTATGTGCCTGTTCTTGTGCCAGTACCAGGCTGTTCTAATTTAGTAGCTTTGTAGTATAACATGATATCCAGTATTGTGATCCCACCTACTTTGTTCTTTTTTTTTCAAGATTGCTGTGGCTATTCGGGGTCTTTTTTGGTTCCAAATGAACTTTTGAAGTATTTGTTCTAGTTCTGTCAAGTATGTCGTTGCTATTTTGATGGGGATTGCATTGAATCTATAGACCACACTCAGACTCAATTTTTCAGTTTTGGGGGATGTTTTATTACCTGCGCAGGGACTGCAGCCAACCTACACAGAGGAGAACTGCAGCCCCAAGCTCAGGGGGAGGGTTGCTTATATAGGGCAGGGGTCATTCAAGAGTTTAGCAGAGCAAGCAAGCTGCGTGTACAGAAGCGGAGGCAGTTAGCGATAAGCAGGAGGGAACGGAGGTGGGAGGGAGCTGAGGCGAAAGGAAACTGGGTAAACTGGGTCAGCATACATCTATCCTGCTATTCATTCCATTATCCAAGTTTTAAAAACTAACAAATTCGAGACGGATATCAGCGGTCAGTCAGGTGCAATACACACATGTTTAACAGTTACAGTTTTATGGGGTAAAGGGAGCTTCAGTTTCTATCAGTTTCTTTACAGAGCATGCAGGACACTCTGGCCTTGGGGCCGTTTCTGTCCTCCCTTTTCCTGAAGGATGTTGCTTTTCAAATTCCCAGTGAAGGTCAAACTCTGGTTAATTTTTATGGGGCTAAAGCCCTCTATAACATTCCCCATTGTTCATCTTGCTGTCTCTGAGGTTGTTAATTAGGGCAGCTTAAAGACAAGTTGGATTCTAAGGACAGTGAGCTACAACAGTGCCAGTACCAGGCTGTTCTAATTTAGTAGCTTTGTAGTATAACATGATATCCAGTATTGTGATCCCGCCTACTTTGTTCTTTTTTTTTTCAAGATTGCTGTGGCTATTCAGGGTCTTTTTTGGTTCCAAATGAACTTTTGAAGTATTTGTTCTAGTTCTGTGAAGTATGTCGTTGCTATTTTGATGGGGATTGCATTGAATCTATAGATTGCTTCGGGTGCTATGGACATTTTAATGATGTTAATTCTTCAATCCATGAACACGGTATGGGCTTCCATTTTTTTATATCTTCCTCTATTTCTTTTATCAGTGTCCTGTAGTTTTCTGTGAATAGGTCCTTTATTTCTTTGGTTAAGTTTATTCCTAGGTATCTTAAATTTTTTTGCTGCAATGGTAAGTGGGATTTTTTTTAGTTTCTCTTTCTGTGAGTTCATTGGTGTATAAGAATGCTGTCAATTTCTTGACATTAATTTTGTATCCTGCTACTTGGCCAAATTCATTTACTAAGTCTAGTAAATTTTTGATGGAGTCTTTGGGGGTTTTCTGTGTATAATATCATGTCATCTGCAAATAATGACAGTTTCACTTCCTCCTTTCCAGTTTGAATCCCTTTTATTTTTTCTTCATGTCTGATTGCTATGGCTAAGACTTCCAGCACTATGTTAAATAAGAGTGGCAAAAGTGGGCATCCTTGTCTTGTTCCTGTTATTAAGGGAAATGCTTTTAATTTTTGCCCATTGAGTATGATGGTGGCTGTAGGTATTTCATATATGGCCTTTATTATGTTGAGATATGATCCCTTTATTCCCAGATTTCTGAGCGTTTTTATCAAAAACGGGTGCTAGATTTTGTTGAATGCTTTTTCAGCGTCTATTGATATGATCATATGATTTTTATCTTTCATTTTGTTTATGTGGTGTATCACATTTACTGATTTGCAAATATTGTACCAG